CCTTTGTAACCTTTATACTGTAAATAAAAATATCGCTTTTAGATTTGTATTTTTTTTCTCCCATATTTTTATGTTGGAATAGACCTACAAGAAAAATCAAAAACAATACAAAGAACTCTCAGGTCCCTTTTACCAAATCCCCTAGTTAGTAATTAACATTTTACCACATTCATCTTTCTGACATGAAACTCTATCACTCGTAAATTCTCTAGTGTGTACCACCCAACAACAAGGACACCCCCGGCTTGCCATTATACATACAACTCTGCCAATCAGGATATCAAGATTGGTACAACAGTACTATCCAATCCCATTCAAATGATGTCAACCATCCCAACAGTATCTCTTTATCCTTTCTGATCCAGGATCCTATCCAGTGCCACGTGTTAACATTTGGTTTCATGTTTCTTCAGTCTGGAACAGTCCCTCGAGCTTTCTCAAATTTTCATGTCCTTGACAGTCTTATTCTGCAGGATGACCCACACCTGGATCTGTCCCATATGATGTCATTACGGATCAGGGCACAAATACCACAAAAGTGATGCTGTGCCCTTCTCAAGAGTATCATCAGAAGGCACATGATGTCAACCCATCCCCTACTGGTGATGCTAGTTGATCACCTAGTCAAGTCAGTGTCTCCACCATTTTTCGCTTTGTAGCATTTCCCTTTGGTTAGCATTTTCTGGTGGAGATACTATGCCAGTTGGCTGTTTTTCATCCAACCCTCACCCAGCAGCCTTGGCACCCGTTGATAACTTCTACCTGTATTACCTGCCACTGTGATGGTTACCAAATGGTGATCATCTATCACTGTCATTCCTTCTGCATTTATCAGTTAGCATTCCACTGTAGGCAAGTACTTCCTCTTCTCCCCCATTTATCTATTGATTATTTATATTGAAACTTCTTGAATTTTTATTTTTTTAAATGGGTTGACAATTTTAAATGGGATTAACAATGTGTATTTATTTTTCTCCCCAAGATAGTCCTAGATTTGGCCTATAGGATACTCTTCAGACTGGCTATTGTGTCCTTTTGACATGTCCCATCACTTTTTTTTTTCATGCATTTTATTGAAATATAATTTATGTACAGTGGAATACACAAAACTGAAGTGACATGGGGGAGCTCTGGTAGCGTAGTGCCAAAGGCACTTGACTGCTAACCAGAAGGCTGGCGGTTCAAACCCACCAGCCACTCCTCAGAAGGAAGGTTGGGCAATCTACTTCCGTAGTGATACTGCCTCAGAAACCCAAGGAGGGGTCGCTATGAGTCAGTCTGACTAACAACAGTGATATAGGGCAATGCATTTTTTTTTTTTTTTTAATGTTCTTTCCCCTCCCCTCCCACCCCTGACAACCAACAAAGTTTCCCTCCATATATAAACCTGTCCTTGACCCTCCACAACAACGAACTAATACTATATTTGTCCTTCTGTGACTGACTTATTTCACTCAGCATAATGTCCTCCAAGTTCACCATATTATGTGGTGGTTTGCAGACTCAACATTATTCTTTAGTGCTGCATAGCATTCCATTATGTGTATGTACCATGGTTTGGTCATCCATTCTTCCACTGATGGGCACATAGGTTGCTTCCATCTTTTTGCTGTTGTAAGTAGTGCTGTGATGAACATGGGTGTGCATATATCTGTTCCTATCCTGGCTCTCACCTCTCTAGGATATATACCTAGTCATGGGATTGCTGGGTCAAATGGTATCTCCAATTCCAGTTTCCTAAGGAATTGCCTTAGCTGTATCACTTCCCAGTCCCACCAGCAGTGTATGAGAGTCCCAATCTCTCCACATCCCCACCAGCATTTGTTATTTTCTGCCTCATTGACCCTTGCCGTCAGTGCTGGGGTGAAACGATATCTCATTGTTTTGATCCTGTCATTCTTAAAACATTTACTTCTGGCACAACAAAGACTAATCTTGTACTTTCCCTGCTCCAGGCCTGAAATCAGCCATTTCTCCAAGAAGCTCACTGCGATATGGCGTCTGCCTCCATCACTTCACTGAAATATTGCTGGCTGAGGTCATCAGGGTCTTCCATATCACTGCTGGCCTTCTCAGCTGCATTAGGTACTACTGTCCCCTCCCTCCTAATCAACAATACTCCCCTTGAGACACTCCTCTGACTACCAAGACACTCTCTAGCTTTCTGACCTCTCCAGCTGTTGTTCTAAGCCACCTTTGCAGACTCATCCTCCCCTAGTCAGCCAACAAACTTCAAATCTCCCTAACAGGCTCTCACCTCACCTCACCCTATACCCTGGTCTTAAGAGATCTCAAGCACACAGTTTCCGTTCCCGTTCATACCAAGATGCCTCTCAGGTGTGAGTCTCCAGCCTCCTCTTCTGAGTTCCTGATGCAGTATGTCCAAATGACACTTGTTTTCCTGGGGATATTCCAAAGGAACCTCACTCTCGTGATGATGTTCACCCACCATCCATCCAGATGCTCAAGCCAAAAACCCAGGAATCATCCCTGTCCCCTCCTACCCTTCCCCATGTCCCCTTTTTAATCCATCTCCAAGTGTCTATGATTTGTCTTCCAAACTTCACTCTGCATATGTTTCTCCATGGCCCTTTCCCTGGTCTAAGTGTCCCTCAGTTTTCTGGACCACACCAACAGCTTCATACTGCAGTAATTTGCTTTGCCTCCCAATTTGTTCTCCATATTAAGTCTGGAATCTTCTATCTAAAATGGAAAGAAAAAAAATTGCTTAATACAGCTTCCCATTGTTTTTAGGTTAAAAACCAAAATCTTTATTATAGCTGAATGTCTTGGTCCCTGCCCATCTCCCCAGCACCAGTTCACACCAGTTTTTTCCTGCTCCAGCTTTCTGGGCCTGCCTTCTCTGGTTTCTTGAAATCCACCAGTGGCCTCCTCAGGGCCTTCACACAGGCTGGTTCATTAGCCTGGAATACTCTTCCTCCTCATTCCTTGAACCTCCACTTGAATGGGTGCATTTCCTGGGGTAGAGTACCTGCTAGAAGTTCACGTAGCATGTGAGCATTTACACATGGGCCTTGACACGCTTATTCCCTCCTGATGAACCTCATCTTTCACTGTCAGCTCCCCCAGGGCTGTTTGGATCATTGCTGTCGCCACAGACCAGCACAGAGCCCAGCACATGGTAGGTACTTCCTAAATGCTATTGAGAAGGAAAATTAATAACCAAACTGCTGTCTGAAGTCGCTGGGTAAAGCCCCCAGATTCAGAGGCTTAAAAAAAAAAAAAAAAAATTTTTCCTGAGGGGAAAAGTAGAAAGGTTAATAATTTAAAAACAAACAAGCCCCCCCCCCCAAAAAAAAAAAATTAGCTCTAGACAGAGCCACCGTTATCATACTAACAGTTACCAGGTACTAAGCCCCCACTTGGGAGCTCTGGTAGCATAGTGCCTAAGGCACTTGACTGATAACCAGAAGGCTGGCGGTTCAAACCCACCAGCCACTCCTCGGAAGGAAGATGGGGCAATCTACTTCGGTAGAGATACCGCCTCAGAAACCCAAGGAGGGGTCACTATGAGTCAGGTCCGACTCGACGGCACAAAGCAACAAACAACACAAGCCCCCACTTGTTTTACATAAGATTGCTCATTCTTTTCCCTCAAAACACAGGTAAGGCATTAACTACTGGTGGTGCAGTGATTAAAGCATTCACCTGGTAACCGAAATGTTGGCAGTTCCAACCTACCAGCACTCCAGAGGATAAAGAGGAGGCAGTCCGTTTCCATAAATATTTACAGCCTTGCAAACGCTATTGGGCAGTTCTACTCTGTCATATAGAGCGGCTATGAGTCAGCATCAACTGGATGGCAGAGAGCTTCGGATTTAAGAAGCCCCGGTGACACAGTGGTGCAAGTGCTGGGCTGCTCGTTGCAAGGTCTGTTGGAACCCATCAGCTGCTCTGTAGTGGAAACAGGTGGCAGTGTACTGCTGTAAACACTGTTGTTAGATGCCATGGAGTAGCATCTGACTCACACCAAACCCTACGTACAACGGAAGGAAATACTGCCCAGTCTTATGCCACCCTCACAATCGTTGCTTTTTGACCCGTGTCAGCCACTATGTCAATCCATCTCGTTAAGGGTCTTCCTTTTGGCATAGTGCCTAAGGTATTAGACTCCTAACGAGAAGGCTGGCGGTTCAAACCCACCAGCCACTCCTGGGAAGGAAGACTGGGCAATCTACTTCCCTAGAGATACTGCCTCGGAAACCCAGGGAAGGGTCACTATGAGTCGGAACCGACTCAACGGGAGTGAGGAGGTTTTTTTTTGGTCTCCTTTTCCAAGCAGTGTGCCTCTCCAAGGGACTCGCTATGAGTGGGAGTTGGCCCCACGAATTACAAGTTGTATCCATCCTACAAGACAAGGAAACCATAGCTCTAGGAAGTTAGGTTTATTGTGCCAGTAAGCCGCTCTGTTGTCAGGTGCCAAGGAGTCTAGCGACTCCGCGTGTAACAGAAGAAAATGGCGGGGCCTGCGTCATCTTCACAATTGTTACTATGAACCCATTGATGCAGCCACCGTGCCAATCTTGTTGAGGGGTTTTCTCTTTTTAGCTGACCCTCAATTTTCCCAAGCATGAGGTTCTTCTCCAGGAATTGATCTCTCCTGATTAACGTAGACGAGGCAATCTCTCCATTCTTGCTTCGAAGGAGCACTGAAGCTGTATATGCTCCATAAATTTAATTGGAAATGAAATCTAGGCACTTCCAGCCATTGGTCTCGCTTCGCTCACCTGGGCTAGCCTCGCATACTATCCCAGGCTCCGCCCCCAGCCCTTGACCAGACTTGGTCCGCCCCACCCCGACACGCCTCTTACCCAGAGCGCAGGCCACGCCCCCGTCCCGTCCAGTCCTGGCTTTAGCTACCTGATCTCCTCCAATCGACCGCGAAGTGGAACAGCCCTTGTAGTACCAACCGAGGCCGCTGGGGGGAAGCCGCACGCCTCAGACCTGACCGCTCTGGGCCGCGCTCCTCGCTAGTCCTCGGACTCGGCTTGTACTCTAGCGGCCGCCCTGCCCGCGCCCAGCGCTGATCTGCCGGTCTCTCCGCGCCAGACCCAGCACCTCGGCTCTCCGGGGCCGGACCGAGGCCGCAAGTAGCACCGCGAGGTGTGGGGCGGACCCAGGAGATGAAATGACAACGTCTACCCTCCAGGTACCTCGGCGCGGCTTTCGAAGGCCGAAGAAGGCGCGGCGGGGCCTGCGGGCCTCGGAGCCGGGCGGGCTGGCGGCCTCCCCGGAACCCGAGCCTCGAGACCCCTGCCCCACTCTGGCCTGCGTCCCCTCTTCCACGGGTTTCTGTCTTCACGCGCTCGGAGGCCAGGGACGCCTTCTCTTCCCAAGCCCCCCCAGCCCCCTGCTGGCCCAAGCCCCGAGGCCGCGACTTGCAGGCGGCGCCCTGGTACGGTCGGGTTGATCAGCCTCACCCGGGCCCACAGGCGTCTCCAGGGGAAGCTCCGGCTCTGCGTCGGGTTGGTTGCCTTCTCCTGCCACGGGTCCTGGAAGCCCTCTGCCCTACTCCGAGCAAGCCCCGTCTCCTTGCCGGGTCTCCGACTTGTTTTCTAGCACAACGACCCTTCCTTCATTCCTCAGGTCGTACGGGGTGCTGCTGGGGTAACGCCACTTAGATGAATGATTGACCCATTCTCCTGGTGCTGCCAGTCCTGCAGGACCAGAAAACATAAACATGGCTCAGGCTCCAGACCTGGGTTTGAATCTGCTCGGCCACTCACTAGCATGTGACCTTGGGCTGGTTTAGTTGATCTTGAAATCTTGAGTTTCCTCGTCTGTAAAATGGGGACGGGAATACTGTACCCTAATCCATAGGGTTGTTGTGAGAGTGGATATAGACGGAGTCATTCATTTCAGACATTCATAACACAGGGTCTGCACGTCGTTCGTCCTCAGTAAGCGATGACATAAAGTGTTTGGGGGAGTTAGACAAGACTTCATGGAGGAGGGGGTATCTGGCCAGAGCATCAAGGGATGGTAGCATGCCGATACGGGGGGGGGGGGGACTGGCGGCATGGAATAAACTGCATTATCAGGCCAGGAATTAGCTTGGGTACAAAGCCAGGCTCCAACCACAGAGCTCTGACAGGTCATCACAAGCTAACTCTAGTCTTCAGGCTAGATACCTCCCTGCCCAACCAGTTTATATATGGCCTGTGAGCTAAGAATGGTGTTTACATTTGGGGGGGGGGGAACTTTATTAAGATATAACTGACATACACCATACAATTCATCCATTTAGTGTCCGATTCAGTGCTTTTTAGTTATATTCATAGATACAGGTAACTATCACAACAGTCAATTCTAGAACATTTTTAGCACCCCAGAAAGCAGCCCCACACCCCTTAGCTGACACTCTCCAGTCCCCACAACCCTCCCAGGCCTGAGCAGCTGCTAATCTACTTTCTGTTTGTATATGTTGGTCTCTTCTGGACATACTATGTAAATGGGATCATAAAACATGCAACCCTTTGTAACTGATTCCTTTCACTTAGCATATTTTCAAGATTCAGCGATGGGGTAGGTTCTTAAACTTGTAAAGGTTGAAAAAAACAAAACTTTGTGATATGAAATTCCCGTTCCCATGTCTGCGTGTGCGGTGCAGTGTCACTGGGCACAGCTGTGCCCGTTCCTTTATGCACTTTGGATGGCCATGCACACACTGCAACAGAGGAGTTGAGTGTTTGCGACAGAGATCCTATGGCCAGCAAAGGCTAAAATGTTTACTCTGGCCCTTTACATAAAGAGGTTGCCAGCCCCTCTGTTAACACATCTCTACTGTCATCCTCTTCCTTCACCATCCGTGTTACTAGAGGTGTGGCAGGGATGGCAGTTTTGTCTGTCACCTTACCCTCCTCTTACACAAAGCTGTTCCTCTCCACACTGAAGCTACTAAGGCCTCCTGCATGTGGAAAAACTGCACGTGGTTCTAATGCACTCCTAGGTGTATTTGTTCATTGTTTTTGAAGGTGGAGGGAGGCATGGGCCAGGCCTGCTCTGCTCCACCTCCAAGTTTCGATGTTCCGGGTCTTACCTTTCAAAAGGACCAGGGCCGCTAGGGAGTCCCCGGGTGGTACAAACGGTTTAGCGCTGGACCATTAGCTGAAAGGTTGGTGGTTCAAACCTACCCAGAAACGCTTCAGAAGACAGGCCTGGCAGTCTGCTCCCGAAAGGTCACAGCCTTGACAACCCTGTGGAGCGGTTCTACTCTGCACACCCTGGGTCACCCTGCATCGGGACCAACCAGTAACAGGAAACTGGGGAAGGAAAAGGTCCAAGGGGCTGAGGCCTTTCTTCTGGAGAAAAGAAGCCACCTGGGACATGAGCACTGCCTCACAGATGTCTTCTCTGAAGGGCACCCCTGTCTGCTTACCTGGAGACCAGGTAACTGAGATTTGTGTATAAGCTGATCAAGATGGTGCAGGGCTCCTAGCTGTCTTCTATTTGTATGTAGTGGAGGGGGCTGAAGCCTGAAAATAGTAGGCAACACTCTTTTACACCTTTCCTCATCTCTTCAGTCTGGTGAGTTCCTTTACCATCAGCCTGGCCTTCTGAGAAGTCTTGCCTTCAAATGAGGAGGGGCATCTGTGTGCCCAGGGAACGGTGTTTTATCTGACCAAGGAAAGTCATATCTGGTCATGCTTCCTGGTCGATAAAGCTGCAGTTTCTGAAAGTGGGTATGCAGGTGTGGGGCAGCTGCCTGAAAGAGTGAGCATGCTTTTTGTTCAGAATGGGGCCCAGGCCTGCAGAGTTTGTGAGATTGACAAAGACTCGTTCTCAGAGTTCTCTGAAGGTTCCAGAGGACAGTCACCCTCAATTGGCAGCACATATTTGTCTCCACTGTAACCAAGCACTTTTCTTACTGGAGCTCCTAAATAGTGAACTCTGTGTCTAAGCATCCCTGCTCAGGTCTCCATCTTTAGGGCAGCTGGCTTCTCTTTTCAGTCTAGGCAAGCAAGTTGAATTAGGCCAGCAGCAGAGAGTCAGAGTCCCTTTAAATCCACCTCGTGGAAACCTCAGGTCCTTCCCTGACTGGCTGGCTCCTCTCTAGCCTTCAAGGCCAAGTGCAGTTTCTGGCCTCTGTACTGAGCTTCACAGCAATGGATTTATCCCATTGTTAGCCGATTCGAGGCTATCAGTCCACGTCTGTGTGTCTCTCCCTTGAGGTGCAGGATACAAACTCCCGAGAACTCTCTTTTGAGCCCTAACCTGAGACGTCAGGTCGGGCTTCCGTTTGCCGAGACCCAGAGCAAGAGCTGCGAGGGAGGCTCTCAGCTTCCCGTGTGTGTGCTTGCTGTGAAGAGGGACAGGCAGCTTTTAAAGCTTTGTTTTAGGACCCTGCTAGTTGGCACTGGGAAAGCAGGCTGACATACTTGTCTGTAGCTGACAAACCCACAGGCCTGGCAGGATCTCTCATCAGTGTTGCCTACTGCCAGCAGCTTTTTGGGTCTCTGTGGGAAGACTGGTCTATTCGTTTTGCCTTTCCAGAAAGCCATTGATCTGGTGACGAAAGCGACAGAAGAGGATAAAGCCAAGAACTATGAGGAGGCCCTTCGGCTCTACCAGCATGCTGTGGAGTACTTCCTACACGCCATCAAGTGTGAGTCAGGCTCCAGGCACCAGCTGTGGGGCCCGTGCGGAGGCGGGCGAGCCCCGGGCCTCACAGGGTCCTCTCGGCTTCTCTCCCGCAGATGAGGCGCACAGCGACAAGGCCAAGGAGAGCATTCGTGCCAAGTGCATGCAGTACCTAGACCGGGCCGAGAAACTGAAGGATTATTTACGAAACAAAGAGAAGCATGGCAAGAAGCCAGTGAAAGAGAACCAGACTGAGGGCAAAGGGTGAGTGTGCAGGGGAAGGGTGCGCTGCCCGGAGAGCCCCGAGCCGTGTGCCCCTTCCATGGTCACTGTCATTCTTGGTACCAGTGCTGCCTTGGACTCTCAGGGCACCTTCCTCCCCACCCCCGCCTCCAGTTTGTTTAAGGGGGAAGAGAAGGGAACTTCCCTGTGAGCGTCATAAAGAACAAATGAAATGATCCAGGCGGCCGCCCTTGGAAAAGACCTTGGCACCCAAAGACCAAAAAGCCGAACCCATTGCTGTCGAGTCAATTCCAACTCATAGCAACCATGTAGGGTTTTCAAGACCGTAAATCTTTATGGAATCCAACTGATGTATCTTTCTCCCGTGGAGCAGCTGGTGGGTTCCAGCTGCTGGCCTTCCCGTTAGAGGCTGCACAATTAACCGCTGTTTGGCATTTTTGCTTGGCACTCAGCACTCAGTAGGCGTGCACCATTAGTATCATTAAATAGTTGTCATCGTCAAGATAGACTAGGCCATGGAGATTTGCCAGAGTCACAGAGCTAGTACATGAGACAGCCTGCCCCATCCCCAGGCCTCTGGTCCTGATGCCCAGGCCAGCGCCCTCTCCACAGCCTCTGCCCTCGGGTCTGCAGTTCGCCCACCACGGTGATTCCAGCTGGTGGATGTGTGTCCCACAGGCAGCACAAAGGCCAGTGGGGAGCTGGAGGGGAGGGGAGAGAGTCCTGCTGTAGGAGGGTCCTGGAGTGGAGAGAGGTGGGGGTGTCTGCTGCCTCACCCCTCCCCCTGGAGGGAGAGTACATTCCTGATTTTATTCCCCAGAGTGGGAAGGGGCAGGTACCCACAGTACTCTAAGAAGGATGAAATAGTTTTGAGGACAGCAAATCAGTTATTTCAGGATAAGACATGGCCATCACAACAGGCCAGTTACTATGTTCTTCTCCACAGGCTCCCCTGTATGTTGAAATGCCCACCTCTTCCCTGTCCTTGGGCTGTGACTGCTGTGGAGTCTTAGCTGCCTGTTTCCAAGAGTCTGTATGGAAGGCTAATGGCAGCTGCATTTGGTTGACTGGCGCTCTTTTTTTTTTTTTTTTTTATACAAACATTCTTTGATTTTTAATGTGGATTTTTAAGGTAAAAAGCATTACATTTGACATTTTGATATGATGTTCCTGTTTTTGAAGAAAATAACATAATTCCTCTGCCAGTATTCTTTTTTTTTTTTTTTTTAATTTTATTTTATTTAGATTTGGGTGAAGATTTACAGAGCAAATTCACTCTCGATACAGCAGTTCACATATACTTTGTCTCATGTCATTGACCACAGTTTACCACAATGCAACAGCTCCTCTCCAATTTCCTCCCCAAGGTACCACTTCCCAGTGTCCATCCCTCCATACTCTCCTGCCCCCTAAGCTGTCTCCCTGTGACTGGCGCTCTTTAAAGGCAGCCAAAGCATGTTTCTCTCCCAGCCTCCTGGAGAGGACAGATGTCTCTATTTTTCTTCCATTAATAAGAAAGAAGAGTGGGTTATGAGAGCGTTTCTGGGGGAGGGAGGGTCCAGAGGTAAGGTGCTAATAACGTGGCCCTAGTGTCAGCTGCTCCTTATTGTTGAGCACGGGAAGTGTTCCTCTGCCACTGTGCCTGCAGCCAGAGCCAGCCTCGCTCTGGGAGCCGCCTTGCCAATGGCGCATTGCTCACAGGATGAAATGCCAGCTTACAGTCTTCTGTCTCCTCTCCTAGTAGCGATAGTGACAGCGAAGGGGATAATCCAGAGAAAAAGAAACTGCAAGAGCAACTGATGGGTAAGGGGCTGGAGGCCCGTGGCAACAGGAGGGATACGGCAAGGGTCCCCTGGTGGGTCAGCTCGTGCCCACTGGTCAGGCATGGCGTTGCAGCTTTCCCTCCGGGTCGCAGGTGCTGTTGTCATGGAGAAGCCCAACATCCGGTGGAGTGATGTGGCTGGGCTGGAGGGGGCCAAGGAGGCCCTGAAAGAAGCTGTCATTTTGCCAATTAAATTCCCACACTTGTTCACAGGTAAGAGTTGAGCCACTTTAGGCCCAGATATAAAAGTACCAGGCTTCTCTGGGAGCCACTCTGAAGATATCCAGAACAGGTAGCAACTCAGCTCCATTTGCCCTTAAAGGGTGAGGGCTCCGGCCTTCCGACGAGAAGGAAGAGAGAGGCCCCAGGGCCTACGGCCATGCTCCTCCATTCCTGGGCTTTTCTCTGCTGTCAGAAACACTTGGGACTAGAATTTTGAAGCGACCATCCAGTGGGTGGGCATGGTCAGGAAGCACTGCTAGCTAGCGTCACTTTGGAAGGTCACGGAGCTCATTAGCCAGGCCTGGGCTGAGCTCTCAGTGTGTAACTTTGTGCTCTTTATCCCTTTGTGTCTAGAATCAATTGCTTTTCAGAACCTCTTATTCCTGTGGTTATAGTGACTAAGGATTATTTTTCCTGTCTGTTTTCCCCAATCAGGAAGAAGCTCACTTCGGTTTATTCTCTATTGTAGGCAAACGTACCCCTTGGCGAGGGATACTGCTCTTTGGACCCCCTGGCACAGGGAAATCCTACCTGGCCAAAGCTGTGGCAACAGAGGCCAACAACTCCACCTTCTTCTCTGTGTCCTCCTCAGACTTGATGTCTAAGTGGTTGGGAGAGAGTGAGAAGTAAGTCAGCCACCAGGGCCTGCTCTGCCGGGGGCCCCCCCAGCCGCTAGTGCTCCAGCCTCCCTGCCCCTTAGAGTCACTCCCAGAGGAGCTGCTGGTGAATATTCAGAGATAAGTAGCCAGGAGAGTGATATCTTGCTAGCTCACTGAATGGGACACTGTCTTGACAAGAGGGTTGAAACTGGAAGGGAACTTAGGAAAGAGAAAGTACTGCAGAAGGGAAGGATAAGGAACTGATAGCAGTCATCAGTTGAATAGCCCCTGTTGGGGTACCTTGTTACACCTTAGTTAACTTACTCCCCACAGCAGCTCACATTTTGCAGATGAGTAAATTGAGGCCCAGAGGAAGGGAAGGGGCTTGTCCTTAGTCCACAGCTAATGAATGTGACCAGCAAGACTGGAGCTGAATCCAAGGCCTGTTCTTGGTACAGTGCTGCCAGATAATCAGTCACCGCCATTTTTGCTGTAATCCAAGCATGACTGTGGCCTCAACCTCCCTGCGGGAAGGGCAAGAGGAGCAAAATGGTGCCTGGCACCCTTGGGGGGGCATGTGAGTGCCCAGATCCCAACCCCACTGTTACCTGAACAGGCTGGTGAAGAACCTGTTTGAACTGGCCAGGCAGCACAAGCCCTCCATCATCTTCATCGATGAGGTAGATTCCCTCTGTGGATCCCGAAACGAAAATGAGAGTGAGGCTGCCCGAAGGATCAAAACCGAGTTCTTGGTCCAGATGCAGGGTGAGTGCCGGTCTTGGGTGCCACACTGCTTCTCGTTCTACTTCAGGCCAGCCCCGGGCTTGGTAATTGAGCCGTGGCTCACTCTGATTGCCCTTAGGGTGGAGGGGGGGTGGCTCCATCATAGTAGGCTTTCATGATGAGAGGTTCTGGGGCCTTTGCCACCTGCCTTTCTGCCCCTACTTCACAGCAGGGCCATAGGTCCCTTCATCCCAGCAACCCCCAGGCCAGCGCATGGTTTAATTTCGGTCAGAACCTCTGTGGGTGGCGCCTCCCAGCCACGGACACAAGAGGCTCCTGACGGCCTTCCCCAGAGGCTCTGACTGATCATTGAAGGTATTTTCCGAGTCAGTGTCTCTTGTTTCCTTCTTGCGCAGGGGTGGGCAATAACAACGATGGGACTCTGGTTCTCGGTGCCACAAATATCCCATGGGTATTGGATTCAGCGATTAGAAGGAGGTGAGTCTTCCCCAGCAGGTGCCAGGAGCTGAAGTCTTTCTCCAGCCTGGTGCAGCTGCTCCAGGCAGCCTTTGGCTGTAGCCTGGACTGTTTCCTGGCTCCTCCCAGGGTCCGCATGGGGAGAGAGCCTTTCCTGAAGCCTGCTCCTCAGGGCCACGCTGCTGGCATCACTGGCCCGTGAAGTCAACTTCTCTAGAATCTAGAACCTCCGTGTCTCCCCTTTCCACCAAGGCCAGACCATCATCAGCTCAGTTCTGCGTGCTTGGCTCTCCAGGTTTGAGAAGAGGATTTACATCCCGCTGCCTGAGGAAGCTGCCCGGGCCCAGATGTTCCGGTTGCATTTGGGGAGCACTCCCCACAGCCTCACAGATGCCAACATCCATGAGCTGGCCCGGAAGACAGAAGGCTACTCGGGCGCAGATATCAGCATCATTGTGCGGGATTCCCTCATGCAGCCCGTTAGGAAAGTACAGTCGGCAACACACTTCAAAAAGGTGAGTGGGCCTCTGGGGGGGTGTTTGGAAAATGTCACAGGACAGAAGAGCTGTTGGGTTTCTTTGCCAGCTCCCTGGCCCTGCTGCCTGGCTGCTCAGGTGACACATTCGCAGACTCTTAGGGAACCAATGGCAGATGCAGAGTGAGCCCTTGCTCCAAGGCCTCGTACATGCCGCCCCCTCCCAGCAGACTTTCTGGCCTCCGACTGTGCCCAGCAGAAGGCGGGTGCTGCCCTTTGCAGCCCCCGGTCCCCTCTGCTTGTTGTGCGTGGCAGATACCATGCTTGAACGTCTGATGTGTCAAATATAAAATTAGACTGTAAGGACTCATCCGTTATTTAGCAGGTCTTTGTTGAGTGTCTGCTATGGGTCCTACTATGTGCCTGACACTGTTCTTTGTGCTGGGAAGGCACAAGTGACCAAAAGACAAAAATCCAGGCCTCCTCCAGCCCCTTTTCTGGTGAGGGGAGACAGACTGTAAACCAACACTAGCGACTTAAGAGGGCAGCAAGCAGGGACATAGAGCAGGGTCAGTTACGGTTGTGAGGTTCCGAGCGGGTGGGCAGGGTATATTCTTAAAGGACTAGTCACACTGAGGCAACATTTGAAGGAGGTGAGGGGATGAGCCATGAAGATATTTGGGAGAATGTTCACAGTGGAACAGAATGGGTTGGAAACATCTTTGGTGTTGCTGCATCTGCACTGAGATTCAGTGGAATTGATGAGGAGGGTGTCAGGGTATTTCGGGCTACAAGGTGAGATTCTGGGGGCAGTGAGTGGAACAGTAAACCTCTCAACTGAGACCTCCAGCCACAATGACTGCTCAGCCCAAGAGCTGTAGTAGGGCCTCCCTCCTCAGACCTCTCATGGCCTTTACTCCTACCATTACCTTCTCTCTAGAAGCCAGAAATATGAAGCTTCCTGTCCTTTCCCCAAACACTGATTGGCAGCCACGCCAGCCAGTCAAACTCCCATTTGGTTGCAGGTCTGCGGCCCTTCCCGCACCAACCCTAGCATTATGATCGATGACCTCCTGACCCCGTGCTCACCAGGGGACCCGGGGGCTATGGAGATGACTTGGATGGATGTCCCTAGTGACAAACTCTTAGAGCCTGTGGTTTGCATGGTAAGTGACCAGTGGGGAGAGAGGACTGCACAGAGCCCAGAAAATTGGGGCTTGGGTCCAAGAATAAAAGTAAGTTTCTCCTCTTTTCTGTCCTGGGCTCTTAGGGTTCTTCCTAAACAGAGAATGGCCTTTGTGTCTCTGGGTGGCTGGGGCTCCTGCCTTAGATTCAAGGGGGACCCAGGATACAACAGTCAGCATTCATTTTCTTCAGCAAAGAGGAAAGATCAGATCACATGACTCCATCATGCCATGGCTTTGGCTTATTGGTTTATTTTGCACACAGAAGGAACCAGTAAATTCATGTCAGCATGATTTGATTTCGTGCAGTCCCACGGTAGCCACTCACCCGAATAGTCTCAGCCCCTTGTAACCTTGGTTTGGTCAACTCTCTTGCCTGTTCCGTTTTGCTGGATGCCTGCTGTTAGAGCTGGTGGGATGGGCACGCAGCAAAGAAAGAGCTGCTGATGGGAGTGAGGAGATGACAGGTGCTCTCTCTCAGCCCAGAAAGAGGCCCAGGTGGAAATGATGTGGGGGTGCCTCAGAAGGAGGTCCATCACAGGGAGCATCAAGCAGGAGCTGGCAACTGGAAGGACTTGTGCATTTGGGGAACGGGGTCTGGGTGACCTAAGTCAGGCCCCTTCCCACCTTAGACTGTGTGGTTCTGAGCTGAGGGGGGCGAGGACCGGGCACGTGGCCCCTGCCCAGCTGCCTGCTCTTGTCTTGGCAGTCGGACATGCTCCGGTCTTTGGCCACCACCCGGCCCACTGTGAATGCAGATGACCTTCTGAAAGTAAAGAAGTTCTCAGAGGACTTTGGACAAGAGAGTTAAAAGCTTTTTCACGTGGATGATGGTGAAGGTGGGAGGTTGATCAGGGCAAATCCATGGTACTCCCCACGTTGCTGGCCGAGCTCCAGGGCTCGTCCCTGGACTACTGCAGCATCCCTGCCGCTGTCCGGCCACCTGCAGAGCCGGCAAGAATGCCGTCTAGGCGGCAGAGATGCTGTGAAGCCCATCCTGCTCCCGGTGGAGTCCAGCTCCCCTCCACCTCTTCTGGATGCTCACCAACTTGTTTCTGCCCCCATGTCTTTTTTTTTTTTTTTAAAAAAAACCTTTGTTCCCCTAAGTTAATGCTGCTTGGATTTTTGTCTTGTTTATAATTACACCTGGAAGCACCAAGGAGTGGGAGCAGCCCTGCCGTGGGGTGGGGGCTGCCATCCCACAGGACGGCTTGCATCCCCAACCCCCGGTTTACACCCAAGTGGAACTGGAGGATGGACTGACTGATGGCCCTGGGTCCCAGCCCACACTCTGCCTACAAAGATCTCTCTGGGGAGTCCATTCCCTCCCTCCTCAGGGTGCATCCAGGGCCCTGTCTTCCTTGCAAGAGGAGGTGGTGGTCTTTGTGGGCAGAGCTGTGTAGATGAGAGTGTTTGCGTGAAGGCGCAGTCGGGTGGGCTTCACTGCTGCCTTGTCTTCCCTCTGAATGTGACAACGCTGAGCCCAGCCACTGCCCTGGGCCCTGCCCTGGAGATGGTCTAATAAATCCTTTTCCCTCTGGAGCCCTGAGTGAGCTCATCTTTGACTCTCGTCTAGTCCTCTTTGAAGGCCACTCTTGTTTCGCATGAAAAGACCCTCTGGTTTTCTCTCTCTCATGAGCAGTCATCCCAGGCCTGGTCTCCAGTTGGGTGTGCAAGGCCCTTTCTCCCTAAAACCTCAGGTTTCAGGGAGGTGTTGAAAGAACCTGGACACTTCTTCCTGTTGTCCAACCTCCTGATCAAAATCTGTAAACTGGGAGGCCCTTGGGCCAGACCTGGCCTACAGGTGTTTGGTTTGGTCAGCTGTCAATGCTGACAACTCAGGAGTAAAAATTGAGTTTTCTGGTTTCTGAGAGATTAGGGTAGGTAACGCTGGGCCTGCTTCCCCACACGCCACATTCTATTCTGAGCAATCGTATACCCTTGGGCTGCCCTGTAAGGAAGCTGGAGGCAGATGCTACTGATCTGTGTCACAGAGATGTTACTAAGGACTCTTGGCCTTGGAACACTAAATGGAAGCAGCAGAATGTCCCAGTGTCACCCTGTAGGAGTTCTGGAACATTACTCAAGTGAAAGGAGGCTCAATGAATTCTGATTTTTATAAAGACCCATATTTTGGGTACAAAGGGGAATCTTCCATAAAATTCCCCAAAGGCCAAGTCTCTAACTTTGGGCCAGTGCTAGGTTATGATCCTTTTCTGAAGTTTTAATGCACAGAATCCATTTACTTTGGTTGGCCCATGTCCCCAGAGTTGGCTTACTTGGAGGAAGTCTTTAGGGACAGTGAGTCTTTCCTGGATTCATTTAATAACCTGCTGTTTAAAACACTTGTTCTCTAGACATCGTACTGGATTTCCTGTGTGTCTGTTTCAATCTTAAGGACATTGTTTGGCAAAGGTATCCACATCGCACAATTTCTCAGGACAGAAAAATCAGATGAGACAATGCTCACCTCTTGAAACCCTTCCAGTTTCTAAAAGCCAATGTTTACACTCATGAGTGTGATACTACTTATTTTTCCAAATTAATTGTGACCAAGAAGCATATATTCTGCTTTCTGTGTCTATCCTAATTATGACTAAAGAAGAGGCTCATTGCTTCCTCTCGGCCATCAACCTGTCCCCAGCCCTGCTCCATGGCCTCCACCCAGTGAATGAGCCAGGTACCAGCTGCCCGTGAAATGTGAGCAGAAACCTATTCCCCAAGTCTGTGAAAGGGTGGAGACCTAAACTATATCTGAACCTGTTAAAATGAGTGGGTGCTTATTTACGTTAACATAGTCATCAAACACTTCCTTAAACAGGGAGCACGCTGTGCTGTGTTGACTTGCACAAGCAAGCTGGCGTCCAAGGCTAACCACGGACTCTGCAGGTCAGACACATACACACGAGCCCTTCTGCACAAGGAATTCAGTGAAGATGGTCAACAGCCTTAACTGCATTTTTAAACAAAGATTTCCACCAGATATTTGAGAACCATGTTATTATGAAATCTTGTTTTAGGGAACGGATCATACAGGTCTTAGGAAATTGTTTCTTCTAAAAATGGTTATTTACTTGCCCCCACTTATCACCAAACAAAATTGTCAGGATTGCTATCTCAGGCGGTTTGTTTTCCTTCTCAAGTTGAAGGCAATATTGTATCCATAGCTGATTTCAGGCAAACATTTCTAATGTCTTCTTGCAACCGGGTTTGGCATGCTAGACAGTCCATTGTATTCTATCAGATCCAAGCCAGCATCAAACTGACGCCAAGGAACACGTGCCCAGCTCAAAGCCAAAGAGTGTGTCCTGGTTTTCAGAATCCTCAGCAGCACCAGGACAGCTTCAGTCATTCACCTCCATCCAATGGACGTTTGTCAACGTCCTGCTGTCCATTTTGTCAATGAATAGGCAGCCCTGCAAGTGGTCCATCTCATGTTGGATGATGCGAGCTGCCCACCCACTTGCCTGCCATACCACCTGCTCTCCCCTTGGATCCAGCCCTGCAAAGGGAATGACAACCTCAGTGAGAACATTCTAAACTGCAGCGCTCACTCTTGACCTCTTCATCCATTCCCCCAGCCCCCACCCAACCCTTGGCTGTTTGTATCCACAGGAGCAAGTCAGAAAGGGATGTAGACACCTCAGGCTGAATTATCAAGTATTCAGCCTGGTTCTCCTGTCTGAAGATCAGTTTGCTGGTTCACTATGGGGTTGAGAAATGAGACTGTCTTCCTAAGGTGCTTCTCTTTTGAACACTCCTCCCACTTCTGAAGAATTGCTGTTTACAGTACACTAGCCAAAGGGTTCGAACACACCCAGAAGCCCTTCAGAAGACAGGCCTGATGGTCGGCTTCCCATAAGCCACAGCCCTGAAAACCCTACAAGTTCTACTTGGCACATAATCACCATGAGTCCCAACTGACGACAACTAACACCCCCACCACTATAAAATGAAGTCGACTTTCTGACCTTGGATCAAGTGGATTGCTCAGGAGCTACTATCATGCCCGCCTGGTCAAAGATCTACATTCCACAAGGCATCCTCTGGAGTGCCTTATAACACTAGGTTGGACAAAGGTGGCCACTTCTGCAACCCCAGCCTGACAGATCCAACTGGGCCAGAAGTGTGCGTGTTAGAACAGAGACAGAGGGACACCATGAAGCTGAGACAGGGTGGGAGCTAACAACTAGGCAACCCTCACAATGCTACCTCCACAAAACCCCTGAAGCCGGCTGTGCTCTCACAGGCGTCTCCTGCCCCATCACAGGCTGTTCATCCTGAGTCCCGACCTGCTCGCTCTTGATGCCAGGAGACCCGAATGATCCGCCAGCAAGTCTGCACTTTTAACTGGAGCTTTGCTGAATGAAACAAGGTCGACGAGAGGGGAGGCGCCTCAGAGCCACCGCCACCCCTCACCTGAGATCTGCACGGCCTGGAAGCGGGGCACGCAGGCCAGGAAGCCGGAGAAGCTCTCGCAGCCCTCAGGAAAGGTTACCAGGTGGCTGTCCAGCACGCGCAGGCTGGGGTTCACGAACACACGCAGGGGGAAGGGTTCCATCTGGCGGGCCTCGCGCACGCGCGGCGCGTAGGCTCGGAGGAGCGCCTTCGGGAGCTCCAGAGCCAGTACCTGCAGCGGCACCCCAAGCTGCGGCGCGCTCAGCCCCACGCAGTGCCGGCGCCGCATTACCTGCACCAGCCGCTGCACTAGCCGCTGCAGCTCGGGTCCCGCCAGCCGTCCTGGCTCCACAGGGGCGGCCACGGTGCGCAGCACCGGGTCCCCCACTTGGCACACGTGCGCGTACGGCGGCTGCGGCGGGCCCCGCACCAACCGCCTCACGTAGCGCCAGTAGGAGCGCGCACGCGCCGGGCCCTCGAGACTGTGCGGGCCGGACGTGGAGCTGCAGACCCTGGCGGCCCCGGGCCCCCTCCCCACGGCAGGGCCAGTCGCACGCCCCGACGTGCCTGCAGCGCCGCCAGCAGCAGCCTACCCACTAGCCGGCTCATGGAGATCCCGGAGCAGGAACCCTGCAAACCGCACCGCCCCCTCTGGCCACAGCCGATCACTTCCGCCGCCAGGGACGCCGGGAAGCTGCGTCTGCCGCGGAGGGCGAATGACGGCACCTGAATTAGAACACGGCAGCACTCGGTGACAATCAGCTTTATTATTTAATTCCATTTTTTAGTTCGTATCATTTACATGCCATTTATAGCCATGAAATTTCCGTTTTAAATACCCGCGGAAACACTTCTCCGCTTCTGTTGTCCTGCTCGTTCCCAGGCGGGGCCAGGTCTCCCCGACCTCAGCACTGCCAGCAATTCTCCTTCCCACCGGCTGCCACCTCGTAGAGCCCCTGGTCACCCAGGCACTAGGCCCAATTATGGGAGCGGGGCACATATGTTACACCCCGATAGTAGGTAGATCTGCCTGCGGTGCCTCCCTCTGCAATAGCTCCTCGGGCAGGGGCTGCGGCTCCGTCTGCAGCAGCTCTGTCTTCTCCCGCCCACCCTCAGGAGAAGCTGGAGTGATAGGTTTCGGGCTTGGCTCTTCCACCGGAAGTTCTGGGGCTACAGGTGGGACTTCAGGCACTACTTCCTTCTCCTCGAGAGAGAAGACTATCTCTGTCTTCGGCAGGATAAAGGCGAGAGGCTTCTGGATGATACTGATGTTCACATGCCCGAGGTTGCCATACTTGGAGAGCTGCGTGGGTGGAATGCCTGGGCCGGATAGAATGCAAGTGAAATTTAAAATATATAAATGAAATTCAATATAGATGTCACAGGTAAAAGATGTCACGATTACTTCATTACGATACAGCAAAAGCCAGTTGTGACATGGGACAGGCTGCTGTAAAGGGAGACTCTGAGGGTCATGTGGAGCAGCAAGTACAGGGCAGACCAAACAAGAGCTCAGAGAACCTCAGTAAGCCTCGGGCCTCCCAACCACCGACCCCAGGGGAAAGCAGCGAGCAGGCAGTCTGTTCATGGGATCAGCACCCACTATCGTCTGGCAAGCTGTGCCTTCTCGCGCTCCTCCCCCTCCACCACTGAACAGAGTGTACATGGGGAAGTTAAAGCAAATGGGGAAAAATTGGTTAAAAACCCCTCCTCTGGATATTTCATACAAATGAGATCTTCAACTTGGACCAAAAAGCCACGTATTATATGATTTCATTGATGTGCAGTATCCAGAAAAGGCAAATCTCTAGAGACAGAAAGTAGGGCAGAGCTGCTTGGGGCTGAGGATGGGAATGGGGACTTCTTTCCATGGGTATGAGGGATCTTTCGGAGATGACAGAAATGTCCTACAATTGGACTGTGATAATGGCTACAGATCCCTGGACATTTACTTAAAAAAAAAAAAAAACACCCAGAATTGTACACTTAAACATACTTCTTCTTCTTGTTATGTGCCATCAAGTCAGACCCGACTCATAAAGCCCCCTCCTTGAGTTTCCGAGGCAGTATCACTACAGAAGTAGATTGCCCAATCTTCCTTCCGAGGAGTGGCTGGTGGGTTTGAATCGCCAGCCTTCTGGTTAGCAGTCAAGTGCCTTAGGCACTACGCTACCAGAGCTCCTTCAAACATACTTAGAATTTGAGTTACAGCTCAGTAAGTTTAAAAAAGCCTTTCTCTTACCTAAAGTCTGTGCTATCTGAGCTGGTGGGAAAAGCAACTGAAGACAGCGATTTAAGTAAGGAACAAGGTCTTCCAGGAAGACGGTGCAGAACTGGACGAAGAGCTCTTGCTCCCCACTGGTGAAGGCAGCCTCCTCAGCCCGATGGAAGGCCAGGATGACTCGGGTTACCTGAGAGAAAAGGGTGCATCAATCACCTGGGGCAGTCTGTCACCACGGAGGAGATGAAACCATGCACAAGTGTGCAGCCGTCATATCATGATAAAGTTGTTCCAAACAGTACATTCTACCTATTCTTTCTTAAGCACAGTATTGTTGCTCCTAAAATCTGTCACTTCACACTTGTATTTCTCACTCAACTTACTTCATTAGTTCCAATAAAGCAATGTCCTGAAATTATCCAGACCAGACCAGACTGTGATGGATGAAGCAAACCTAGACGTTCTACTAAGTAAAATCGTATCACAAATGCCACCAACAGCTGACGCCATCGCTTGCAAGAAGCATCTCAACAGCTAAAGGTTTAAATTGTATAAAATCCATGCTCCTCGCTGGGATAGGATATCATCATTATTACTGTGTCAGCAGAATCCTAAGGTAGCCCTCAGGACGCCTGCCCTCTGGTATCTACCCTTTTGTGTAATCCTCTCCCCTTGAGTATGGAAACCCTGTGATTTGCTTCTAACCAACAGAATATGGCAAAGGTGAAGGATTTTGAAGATGTGATTAAAGTCTCTAATCTCTCCCTAATCAAAAGGAGTGTGTGTGACCTAATCAGAGAAGCCTTTGAAAAGTGGGTCCAGGCTTTTCCTGAGATAAAAGACTCAAGCAGCAGAGACTCTCTTCAGCTGGCCTTGAAGAAGCAAACAGCCAAGGCTGTGAACTGCCTATGGAGCACAGAGGCCTCTGGGTCCTGAGGGCCTCAGTACTACAAATGCAAGGAAATGAATCCTGCCAACAGCCTGAATGAGCCTAAAGGAGGACCCCGAGCTCCAGCTGGGCCGCCACCTGGCGGAAGCTTTGTTGGAGCCTGAGCCGGGGACCCAGTATGCTGTGCCTAGACTCCTGACCCACAGAAACTGAGATCATAAATGTACGTTGTTTTAAGCCATTCAGTTTACAGTCATTTGTTATGCAGGAAGAAAAAAGAAAAATCCCTTACTACATTACCGAACTCTTGCTCCAGGTGACCCACTTTACAGGTTGTTCTAGGTTCCACGAATGAGGGTCTACCAGAGCTGCTCCACCAAAAACCCATGACACCATGCTGAACATCTCCAGTTGCAGGCACCACAATCATCTGGGCTGGTTTATTACAAAATTGTGGCCACCTGTTACCAACCAAGGCCAGGGCAGCAGAAAGCCAACAGAATGTACTCACCTTGGTAAGGGCATCCTCCAGGGCCCTGGTCACATCCTGCACCAGGGCTATAGGGCAGCAGAGGCGCAGGTCATTGAAGGCAACCAGGATATTGTTGAGGAAGCAGGCAAGGGGTGGGAAGTCTAACAGCACCATGGGTGGCTGCAGCGTCCCCGGCTGAGTCACTGGCACAGCAGCAGGAATGTTACTGCTGCCCAGGATAGCTGGAATCAAGAGGAGGGTGTACGAGTTCATTTCATCCTGGAATTTCTCCACTGCTTCCTGAATGGCTCTTTGGAAGGTGTTGATAGCTACCCGCTGGAAAACAGGAGCCAGCTGGCCCCGGAAATCAGCCCCCACTCGACTGAAGGACAGCCCGAAGTACATGCACTGGCCCAGCAGGGAGTCCAGGCGGCCACCTACTCCTCGGTGAAGGTCGGTCTCCAGCACCTGCAGGAACTGTGACACTTTCTGTAGCACCCACCCATGGAAGATGGCACTCTCGTTCACGGTGTGCTCCCCCACAGCAGGGGGCAGCAGGGGGTCCTCGTCCGAGAAGATGGCACGGTACTGGGTGATGATATCGAAGAGGTGAACTCGGCAGGCCTCGATGGTTTTGGTGATGTGGAAATAGGGATCGTCATTGGGGATGGCAGTCAGGATGGAACGGAGCCAAGCATCTCTTGCCTGAAGAAACTTGACCCTCAGCTCGGCCTCTGTAAAGACGTCCATGCGCCGCAGGTAACCAATGACGCGGAGGCAGGCGGGGAGCTGGATGTTGGTTCTCAGTTGCTGGATCAGCTGGCTCAGCATCAGCTGCATGGACTGGCGCACTTCATTCACGATGCCCTGACAATACAGGCATTACACCCGCTAGTGAAGACTCTCACTGGAACCCGTACCACTACAGACTAACATTCCCGCTGCTCCTGCAGTATGAGGTAGGTGTCCTAAAACTCATGCCACCAGATTCACCAGCAAGGGTCTGGTTGAGCCATTCACTTACCTAAAATGCTCCAATGACTTCCTGTTACAATTATTAAAATTCAAATATTCCCCCAGCCTGGCTCTGCAGGTTCCTAATGTTCTTCCTCTGTTCACCAGGATCCAGTCCCACGGGCTGTCTTTGAATCTTCTAAACATGCCAACTCCTTCCCACCTAAGCCTGCTGTACGTGTTCTTCCCACTTTCTGGTTTGCCCTTCTCCCAGATCTCAATGTGGCTGGTCCCTTTCATCATTCGGATCTCACCTAAACATCATCTCTGCAGAAACACCTTCCCTCAGTACTTTACCTAATGTAACCCAACCTAGTCTCCCTCTACTCCATTCTGGTGTTTTTTTGTTTTTTTTTTTAAACACTTATCACTGTCTGCAACAATAATATTTATTTGTCAGTTATCAGACTTCCTATGAGAATGCAAGCTTTAGGAGAGCACCACAGCCGCCTTTTTTTGGTTCACACTGTATCCCCAAAGTCTGTGTCAGTATTTGGTACATGATTAATATGTATCAGTTGAATGAATCAACAAATGAATGTTTTATGTTCAAGGTTGCCTAGTTTGTAGAAACTGATGTGAAACATGCAAGGGGTTTCTTTAAGATTCCTGCCTAAAGGTTTAGTGATGACCACAGAAATATCGGTTGTGAGAACATCAGTTTGAGTCCTCTCTGGGCAAGCTGGCTTACCTGGATGACAGGGATGGAGGAGTATTTTCTTTCCAGTCGGCGGACGTAGGCTGCAAGCTCCAGGGCCTCTTCGTAATAGCTGTTGCGGACGCAGGTGTCCATGAGCTGCGGAATCTCCAGGATTTCCAGGATCTCCGTGTGCCGGTTCAGAGTCAGGGTGTTCATTCGGCGGTTGGAGCTGATCTGCTCGGCCTCCTTCACAAAGTCCCTAGTAATAATCAGGAGAAATTTGGTCCCTCATTGCTCTACACCCAAACCATAAGTACAGTTAGCTACCAAGCACTTACTATGAATTGAGCACTGGGCTGGAATGGTTTTTGTATTTAATTCTCACACCAAACCTATGAGGTAATTAATGCTATTGCCCTTGAGGAGACTTTAATTCTAGAGAGATCAGCAACTCGTGTAAGGTCACAAGACTAATAAACCATAGAGCACAGTCAGGAACTCACATCTCTTGGCCACTTACTAGCCGTGGCAATGGACTTAGCCTCTCTGAACATGGTTTCCTTAATAAGAGGACCCCTCATCAAGCTGTGAGGATTGAAGTAGTTGACCAGGGTAAAGCACTTAACATGGACCCAGACATGGAGTGAATGTTCTTTAATAAAACATATTAGAATTCTTTTCATAAAAGCGGTAACTAGCCTAGAAGTCAAAGCCTTACCTCCAAGTTCTCCCAGCCTCTTAACCTTCTGTACTATATTGTTCAACTTTAGTTCCCACCAGTCTCCTCTCTCCATTTTCCTTCCACCAGAGCAAAGCTCTGCTTTATGAAGTTCCTTATCTATTCCAGGAGATGGAAGGGTACAAAAGCTGCTGTCAGACATCCAAAGGCTCAAAGAATGAATTACATTTTTTTCAAGAAGGGTTAGAAGGCAGTTAGGGATAGTGGATTGAAGATATGGGAAGGCAGAAAAAAGAGTGACTTTTTCCCTCTCGGTTCATCAGCACTTAAAATTTTGGAGCAGAGGGTTACTGGCGCTAGCTGTCTCATGGAAATATGCACATGTCTATTAACATACGTGTATTTCAATCTGTTGTACACAGAGTAGCTATGAGTGGGAGCCAACTCAAAGGCACCTAACAACAATTAATATATGTCAATTATAAATGTTTAGTGATCACAAAAGCCCATGAGGGAAGGGTGTGCTCTTGGGTTCCAATTTTGAGCCTAAAACTAGCTGTGCCCTTGACGGAGTCACTAACCTCTTTCATGTGTGCGGTGGGAACGACAGAACCTAACCTGCTGTGAGAATTAAATGGCTTAATGAAGCGATCCTCGGAAGGAAGGTTGGGCAATCCTACTTCCGTAGTGATACTGCCTCGGAAACCCAAGGAGGGGTCGCTATGAGTCGGGGCCGACTCGACGGCACATAACAACAACAACAACAACAATGAAGCGATCAGAGGAGAACTGAACACACGGTTAGCGTTTTGTGTCACCTATTTCTACCACCATAAATGCCAATTATTACAGCTGTTAAAAGCCCCTTTAGCGCGAGGCCACCGCACCTGCAGTTCTGCTGGAAGCCGGGCAAGCGGTCAAGCAGACGGCCGAGCGACGCCTCCACGTCGCCGAAGAGGCGATGGATGCGCTCAGTGCACTCGGCTCCGCGGATGAAGGTCTTGTAGTTGGCGAAGGCCAAGTCGCGCGTCTGCTGCAGCAGCTGCGCCCGCTCCTCCGCCAGGCGCTCGGGCTCGCGCCGCAAGCTCTCCAACCCCGAGCCGCTCAACTCTCGTAGGTAACGGCCCACATCGGGCCGCTCCCGCCACTGGGCCTCGGGGAAGCGGTCGCGGAACAGGGATGCCAGGAGTCCCTCATCTTCCACCTCCCCGAGAGCCGCTGCTGTGGCCGTCGCCATAGCCGGAGCCGTAGTGGAGGACGAGAGAGTAACCGTGGCGGCCATCTTTACAGTTGCAGCGTTGTTTTCCCTCCCAGCCAGCGAGGGCGCCGGCTCCAAATCTAGGACCGGAAGAAACAGGAGCTCGTTTCTGGTCTCTATGGCTTCTTACCCGGTTGGCTCCACTTCCCCCAGGTTACGAGTCGCTGGCGTGGAGAGCGGATGCAAAGTGGCTGGAGAGGCAAGCTTTGGAGTTGTTAGGCTACGGCTGGCGGCCGACTTCCGTTTCCGGTGACTGAGGCACGAGGATTTCGTGTTCCTCGCTAGCGGGAAAATGCGGCCTTTGACTGAAGAGGAGACCCGTGTAATGTTCGAGAAGATCGCCAAATAGTAAGAGCGTGCGGGGCACAGGAGAGCCTGTGACGGGTAGGGCCGTGGGGGGCATGGGGCGCGAAACCGGGACGACTCAGCGCGGTGCAGCCTCCCGTCCTTCTCCCCTCAGCATCGGGGAGAATCTTCAGCTGCTCGTTGACAGACCCGACGGCACCTACTGTTTCAGGCTGCACAACGACCGGGTGTACTACGTGAGGTAAGACGAGGCCGGCTGCACGGACTCGGGTGGGGACCTAGAGTCTACAAGCCTCTCTCATCTGACGCCTTTCTCCCCTTGACAACTTTCAGTGAGAAGATCCTGAAGTTGGCCGCCAACATTTCTGGGGACAAACTGGTGTCACTGGGGACCTGCTTCGGAAAATTCACTAAGACCCACAAGTTCCGGTTGCACATCACAGCTCTAGATTATCTTGCGCCCTATGCCAAGGTTTGTGGGATGCTTTCCAATCTGGGTACAGAGGAAGTTAAGAATGAGGGCCACGTTCGAATGCGTTTTACTGGGTAGCTTCTCTCCCACGGAGTCCTGACAGTGCTTAGGTCTGTGCTAGCACACGGGCATGTTTGTCGGTCCTGCTGCTTGGACGGGGTAAGGGTTACAGGTGTGGGACTGCTGTGTGCCCATATAGTCCTAGTTATTGCCAGCAAAGTAGAGAAGCCTCTGCAGGCCCCCTCAAGATTGAGAAACAAATAGATGACTGTGATGAGGAGGGTAGTCAGTACAGGAAAAAAAAAAAAAAAAAACTCCTGCCTTCAAGTCGGTCTCATAGTGACCCCTCCTTGGGTTTCTGAGGCGGTATCACTACGGAAGTAGATTGCCCAACCTTCCTTCCCAGGTGTGGCTGGTGGGTTTGAACCGCCAGCTTCTGGTTAGCAGTCAGATGCCTTAGCCACTACGCCATGAGCACTCCCGGCTACAGGAAAAGAGCTGTTAAGTGGTCCATGAAAAGATTTGTTCTTAGAGTTGAGGGAAGACCCTCCTGGAAATGCCCTCCCACCCCCAGAGTGAACAATTTAGGGAAAATAATATGCTTAAGAAGCTCTTGGGCTGTGCAGTTAGCACTGTCAACCACTAACCCACCCAAAGACGTGACAGACGAAAGGCTGGGCATCCCCTTCTGAAGAATCAGCCATGGAAAGCCCTAGGGAGCATGGTCTACACTCATTGCCATGAGTCCAGATCAGCTCCCCAGCAGGTGGTGCTGCTAGTATATTTCCATGTTCATCTTTCTCTCTTTCGCTTAAAATTCTTGCAAGATATTAACCATGGATTTAATACATTCTCTTATAGTATAAAGTATGGATAAAATCTGGAGCAGAGCAGGCCTTTCTATATGGGAATCATGTATTGAAATCTGGTCTTGGTCGAATTACTGAAAACACCTCTCAGTACCAGGGAGTGGTGGTGTACTCTATGGCAGACATCCCTTTGGTGAGTAGAGATGGTATTTGTCTATTAAAGAAAATTCAAGTACCTTTTTATTCAGGAAGGATGTGTTTTCAAGCGGTGTGCTGCGAGACTCAATTCTTAATACTCTCTGAATTCCTCAAAGGCAAAGACCATGCTTTTTATCTTTTGTTGTTCCCAGTCCTCAATACGTGCTTATTGAATGACTCAGTGAATCAGTGTCTCTTCTCTTGAATCCCAGGGTTTTGGGGTGGCAGCAAAGTCTACACAAGACTGCAGGAAAGTAGACCCCATGGCGATTGTGGTATTTCATCAAGCAGATATTGGGGAATATGTGCGGCATGAAGAGACATTGACTTAAAACGAAGTCATCGCAAGGACTTGTGGCTCTGTGGAAGGGCCTGGGTCTGTTTCCTGTGTCTGTTGGTGCCACCATCATGTTGAGTTTTGTCAACAAAGTGACTTCTTCAGGGACTTCTTGGTTTAATATTCTCTACTGGGAAATGTAGGCTGGATTCTTGCTGTACAGAAATGAATTGAAAATGGGCTTTAAGATCTTTGTGACTAAATAGAAAAATGTTTTTTATTTGACTTCATGGGCTTCTTGTTAATCGTTGGAATTAAGGACAAGAATAGCTTATTACTGTTATCTGTGATAACATTTTGCTTTCCAGACTCAAAAGAACATGATGGATTTCCCTATTATTAATATTGTGAAAGATTTGGGATTTTAGAAATGAGCTTTGGCTAAAATGATAAGAGCAGTTTATTCTTTTTCTATACGGTAAATGTGTGGTGTTGATAAAAACCTGGATTCACACCCTAGTTCTATTAGTTAGCAGCTCTATAGCCTTGGATGATTTCACTTTTCTAAGCTTTGTTATCGTTATAAATATATGTATATATATATTTTTTTTTTAAAAAGCAGCATTAACCGTCTACCTATGTGGTTCCATCTACCTATGTGGTTTTTAAAATTAGGACATCATAATTGTAAAGCCCCTAGTACCAGAAAAACAAACTAAACCCACTGCCGTTGAGTCAATTCTGACTCATAGCAACACTGTAGGATAGAGTAGAACTACCCCACAGGGTTTCCAAGCCTGTAAATCCTTATGGAACCAAACTACCTCATCTGTCTCCCTGAGAGCAGCTGGTAGGTTTGAACCACTAACCACTACATCACTCAAGTTGCATATACCATTTTCTATTATGAAGAGTAGAGGCTTAGGAATATAATTTGATTACAGTCTCTTGGTTTTTACAAGCTGTTTAGTTGATCTTTTCTTGTATGGTATGATCTCAAGCTGAACTGTCTTTTTCATCCCATTGACTTCATAAAACAAAATTTCTTTAGTGAAATCGATCCACCTGGACTGGTCAGAAAGCGCTAGTGAGAGATCCTGAAATAATAATTCAACTCTTTGCTCCTTCCCCGTGCTTTCCAAAAGTATTTTCAGAATTATAAAACATCTTACATACAAAAATCCAAAATAAATAAAACAATTTCTTTGACAGATTCACTGCTTATTTTTTATTCCAAAGGTGACATCTCTGAAAATAAAACATTTTTCAACTGCAAAAAGGCACTCTACCAACTTGTTTTTATGTGCAAGCTGTAACTTGATTTTGTCCCAACTTTTTCAGCTTTCCTCCTTTCCAGCTTCTCTGTTAACCTCTAAACACTGCTATGTGACGGATAATGTTTTGGTGGTAGCATTTGTGTGTACCTAGAAATAGCCAAGCTCAGGACTTTCACATTGTTTTTGTTGTTGTTGCCATTGTGTCTTTGACCGTTTTCTGGCTCAGAAGAAAAGAGACAGGTGCTGTAGTCTTCCTAGCTTAGCATCTCGGCTTGTTTGTCTGAGTAGTTGCTGGAGCATTGAAGAGACGTTTCAAGAAATATAGCTGCAGGATTCCAGAAAGAACAATAACAAGGCTCTGGGCTGTCGACCACCAGTTCACGTAGTTATAGTTAGACTGGAGAAGGAAAAAGTCGGCCGTTTTCCTCATCCGGGCAAAGTTGTAGTATCGCCACATGTGAAAGATATTGTTCTGCACCTTTTGAGTACTGTCCTATGGGAGAGAAAACACACTTTTAGAGAAGGATCCCATCACCCTCGTCCCACCTGGTGTTCATAAGCACTAACCTGTCTGGAAGTTAGTTACTTACTCATACAGCTTTATGATACATAAAAAGCTTTGATAGGTGTTGATAAATGGTTAGTTTTGCTGTATATGAAAAAACGGCTTGGACTTCAGTTTTAAAAAATAATTTTTATAGTGGAAGCTTTAGTAGTCAAACTAGAGAGTTTTTCTACAGGATCTCTGATGCACGCTCAACACATCATTGCACTATCGAATGCTCTTCTCTCTGTAGTAGAAGATGGGCCAGCAAACCTTTTATTAAAAGTGCCAGACAGTAAATATTTTAGATTTTGCAGGCCTTACCTACAGGCTGTGTTGCAGCTACTCAACTCTGCCTTTGTATTTCAGAAGCAGCCATAGTGTGTGAGTGAGTGAGCATGGCTATGTTCAGTACAACTTTATTTACAAAAACAGGCAGCGGACTTGTGTACTTCAAAGGACATTATCAAGAAAGTGAAAAGACAGCCTATAGAAGGAGAGAAGATATTTGTAAATCAGAAATCTAGTAAGGGTCTAGGATCCAGATATGTTCTTGTTGTTGTTTTTGTTACGTGCTGTCGAGTCGGCCCCGACTCATAGCGACCCTTGCTTGGGTTGCCAAGGCAGTATCACTACGGAAGTAGATTGCCCAACCTTCCTTCTGAGGAGTGGCTGGTGGGTTTGAACCACCAGCCTTCTGGTTAGCAGTCAAGTGCCTTAGGCACTATGGATCCAGATATATAACCCACTAACTCACTGCCATCATGTTGGTTCTGACTCATAGTCACCCCCACTGTGTATCCAAGTCTGTAAATCTTTATAAAAGTAGACTGTCATCTTCCTCCCAGAGTAGCTGGTGGGTTTGAAGCACTGGCCTGGTTATCAGCCAAATACCTTACCCGCTACACATGAGAGCTCTTCTCCAATACATAAAGAACTATTTGAAACAATCAAAAAAAAAAAAAAACCAGACAAAGATTGAATAGACATTTCTCCAAAGAAGATATACAACTGGCCAATAAGCACATGAAAAGATAGTTGACATCGTTAGACATTGGGAAGTTGCAACTCAAAATGACTGTGAGGTTTGACATCAGACTAGTATAGTTATTATCAAAAAGAAAAGATAATAACAAGTGTTAGGAAGGATGTGGACATATTTGAAACCCTCATACATTGTTAGTGGGATTGTAAAATACAGCCACTATGGAACACAGTTTGATGGTTTTGCAAAGTTAAACAATGACCATATACCCTAACAATTCCATCTAGGTATGTACCCACAAGACTTGAAAACAGAGACTCAAATACTTGTACACCAACATTCACAGAATTAATAATAGCCAAAAGGTGGAAACAGTCCAGGTGTTTATCAGTAGATGAATGGAGAAACCAAATATATACACATACACTGGAATATTATCCAGCCACAAAAAAGGGATCATGTACTGATATGTGCTAGATACAAACATCATGCTGAGTAAAAGAAGCCAGACACGGGCACATACTACTGTATGATTGCATTTGTATGAAATGTCCAGAATAGGCAAATGGGTGGAGACAAAGTAGCTTAGTGGTTCCCAGGGACTAAAGGGATAGGGATTAGAGTGACTGCTAGTGGTTATGGAGTTTGGGGGAGGGGGTAAAAATGTCCTCAAATTCAGTAATGGTGATGATTGTACAACTTTGGGAATACTTAAAATGACTGAATCTTGAACACTTCAAAATGGTGAATTTTAGGGTATGTATATTATATCTTAATTTAAAAAAAGGGCCAGATTTGGCCTGTGAGCCAACCCCTAGTATGAGACAAATGAGAGATTTCAAGATTTCTCAAGTCATAAAAGTTTATATTAAAGTCCCTTTGATAAATTGGCCCCTGTCATTTTTTTTCCCCCTTGCTTTCTACCTCGTCTTTTATTTCCTGTCCAGCCCTAGAATGAACCACTTCTCCAAAGACCCTAAAAGAAAATGATATTAAAATCCACAGTTTGGGTACTAGCTGTATTCATTGTTATGGATTATAAACATTGTTTCTAGGCCTTTTCAGCGTACAAAAGTAGAAGATAAATTTTTAAAAATGAAATGTATATGTAAAAACACGTTCATACTGATACTGTGATTCAAGTTCAGGCCAAGGTTGCTGTTAATCTCATTTATCTTCACTGATCTTTATCTTCCTTTTCCAGTACCCAAAATTCCAGTTCTCAAGGACACTAACATAATTACTCTCTGCCTTATCTTACAATACTGGTCCCAGGAATCAGATTATGATTACTGCCACCAACAGTATACTTACTAAAAATAATTTTTAAATTTTTTGCCTTTCTTTTTGTTCTTAGGGTATATTTCCTTAGATGTATATAATCAAATTACTGTGGTTTAAAGTTTGTTTTTTCCTACTTTGTCTACCTTCTGGTTAGTGGTTTACCCTGCCTTCCCCTCCCACCCCTGGAACAAAGAATATTTCTTTTTGGGTGAAAATTTTTTCTTGACTTAATGGTCTACAATACTTGTCCTTTGGTGATTTACTAATTTCACTCAGCATAATGTCCTCTAGGTTTGTCTCATGAGGTTTCGCAGATTCATCATTGTTCTTTAACATTGCATAGCAGTCATTTGTGTATATGTACCATAGTTTGTTCATCCATTCCTCCATTGATGAGCATTTAGGTTGCTTTCATCTTTTCGTTATTATGAATAGTGCTGCGATAAACATGGGGGTGCATATGTCTGTTTGTGTCAAGGCATTTATTTTTCGAGGATATGTACCTAGCAGTGGGATTGCTGGATCATATGGTATTTCTCTCTCCACCTTTTTAAGGAAGTGCCATGGTGTTTTCCCCAATGACTGAACCATTTCACTGTCCCACCAGCAGTATATGAGGATTCCAGTGTCTCCGCACCCTTGCCAGCATTTATTGTTTCCTGTTTTTTTGAACCTTACTATTAGTGTCGGGGTGAGATGATAGCTCATTGTTTTGATTCATGTCTCTAATGGCTAATACCGGAGCTCTGGTGGTGTAGTGATTAAAGCATTTGGCTGCTCACCAAAACGTCATTGGTTCACACCTACCAGCTGCTCCATGAAAGAAAGATGAGGCACTCTGCTTCTGTAAAGATTTACAGCCTTGGAAACCCAGTGGGAGTCCATAGGAGTTGGAATCTACTTGATGGCAGTGAGTGTAGGTAGTAATTTTTTGTTTTTTTTCCCGTAATCATGAACATTTCTTTATGTTTTTGTTGGTAAAGTGTCTGTTATGTCCTTTGCCCTTTTTTTTTTTTTTTTAATTGTGATTTGGGTGAAAGTTTACAGAGCAATTCCATTTTTCATACAGCAGTTCATACACATTTTGTCTCATGATGTTGACTACAGTTTCCCACAGCTCTCTTCCCACTTCCTCCCTATAGGTACCTCTTCCCTGTGTCCTTCCCTCCCATGCACTCCTGCCCCCGAGCAGTCTCCCTGTACATACACTGCCCTTCTGTTCTGCCATGATTGATCTCTCCAAGGAGTAGATCTGCCTGATTTTTTTGCCCATTTTTTTAATTGGACCATTTGTCCTTTTGTTTTTGAGGTATTGACGTTTTCTATAAATTCAGAGATTAGACCATTGTCCAGTATGGCCCCTGTCTTCTGTCATATACCAAGAAGAATAAGAAACAGCATCCAGTTGCCGGTTCGGGTTATACCCAAACGTGTAGTCACTCCAGTAGCAGTACTGCCATAATTTTAGTCTCTCTCCAAATTTAAATTTCTTTTCCATGAATGGGTCTCACATAAAAGACTTACCTCAATTGCATCCAGAGTATCATTCAGTTGTTTTCTTTCATTCTTCTCTTCGTGGTCCATCTCAGGCCCCTCATAGAAGACTCCAAAGTTTAGATACACTTGTACAGAACCAAAGTGGTTTTGCTGGTTTCCTAGACAAAGCTGATAAAAACCTGTAGGGGATCCCTAGATTGTTACCAAATTTGTGGTCTTCTGTCCTTTTTTAAGTTTTCCCTACAGATATCTATTCTCCAGTGTTAAATTTGCTAGTACAGCACCTTCTTTTCACTTGGGAAGTACAGAGATTAAAGTTTTGACCTGCAAGACATTATCGTATATCACTTACTTTATTAAATATAATGACTTTTTATAAATATAGTACCAAATATTAGTAAAGATGGTTCTATTCTGGGTACAAACTTCTGTTCTCCCTCTTTTGCACCCTATAATTTTTTGTTAAGTAACTCCTTATTACTTAAGATGAAGGCTCAACAAATTGAATGGAAATTAAAAGCACGATGTTAACTTCCTGCACATTGTACAGCACTGAACCAGGGGCCACCATCATGAACTTGAAATTAAAGAAAAAATCGATGCATTGTGAATGAAAGGCTCTCCTACTAGAGTGAAGTCCCCGTAAGGTGGTTTTTCCAGGGTGCTGATGATTGGGGTGTATACTAGGACTGGTTCTCAACTAGGGTCATCTCCCAGTGTCGGGGTTGGGTAGAGGCGCTGGGATTGGAAATGTGTGGCAGTGGTTTTGATTGTCAAAATTACTGGAAGGTACTAGTAGCATGTAAGGGCCAGGATGCTAAATACCCTATGTTGTCCAATGAAGGACTGTCCTGTGTCAGTGGGGCCTCTCTTGAGAAATGCTGTCTGATAGGACTCCAGACAGGTAAAGAAGAATCTGAGGGTGAAGTAAACAATTAGTTGTCTTGGCCACTAAGTGACAAGTTAAAGGGTTGTGTCCACCCAGAGGTGCCTTGCAAAAAAGGCCTGTTGATGTGCTCTGAGAACTCTGCCGCTGAAAACCATGTGGAGCCCAGCTGTACTCTGAGACACGTGGGTCGCCGTGAGCCACAGCTCACTCAGCAGCAACTGGCTTGGTTGACTGTAATGAAGAAGGTGGTGGCTAAAGCATGGGTGAGGGGGTTCGAGGTGGGGATTGGCTCTATCTGGCTGGGAATCTTCTGATGACATGACAACTGTGCTTTGTTGTAGAATGCAGTTGTCTCACGTGACCATTCCCTTCTAAATCTGCCTTTAGGTAATTGAGTCAAGTGTTCTGATGACTAGAAAGAAATGCTAACTCATAATAAATTTATTAATTGAGATTCTGTATTAGAAACAATCCTCTCTATTTTGGTCACTTTTCCAAAATCTGATCAGTTGGGGATGATGAGATAAAATTGAGCTTCTGGACCCTGGAGTTATCGTAATAGTTAGTAAGCCAGAGACCTTGATCCCAAACTGCCAGTGGACTGCCTGCACTGGGTGGCCTTGGATAACAGCAGTCTCCCAGAAAAGTAAGTACTTGGGTAATGGGTTGAAGCCTGCTCTTTTTTTTTTTTTTTTCTTCCTCCCTCTCCCCTCCCCCATTTCAACATCCCTGTGTGTACTTAATTTCAGTACCTCCTCATTATTTTCTCAATTTTGTAGAAATGTATGATTATTTTAATAGCTGTAGTAATGAGAACAGACCTGTCTCTTGGGTATAGAAGTTAATCTGACCCCGAACGTCCTGGGAGGTATCTATCAGGAAACCTTGTGGGGTATGTGCAGTAGCAGCAACATGCCGGTCATGTGACATTCCCAGTGTCCGCTGAACCTGCCAAGACACATTAAAAGAGAAAAGCCCCTGCTATCTCACCAAAAAGCTATCTTAAAAAAAAAAAAAGCCCAATGATAAAGTTGACATCCCATAATCATCAGCACAGTGGTTGTCAGTCAGAGATGGTACAGCCTCCCCACCCCTGCCTTCTGGGAGCTTTGGAATTGAAAAGAGCCGCTTTCTAGTTGTCATAATGATGGGCTTGCAGCAGTGCTAAATGTCCTGCACTGTTGGGGACAATACTGCAAGAACAAAGAGTCATTTTGCCCAGAATTCCAACAGCGCCCATCCTATTGAGAAAGAAGACATGTCTCATGGCTGGTGCGTATTGGTTGGCAGTACTTTTATTTGGCTGAATGAGCTTGCTTGGTTGTTGTGCTTCCTGGTAGTATCCCACACTTAGGCTTATTTGCTGCTTGATAGCCCATGCCTCCGGCAGGCACTCTATGGACACTTGTCCTCAAGCTGGGTCTTGATGAACCCAGGCTACAAAGAGCTGACTAGTAGCTACTGTTCTACTACAAATTCAGAGATAAGAAAAAGCTCTTAGTGCATTTTAAGTTACAGTGGAATAGAGTAAGATCAACATAGACTATTACTATGTAAACGAAAACTAGAAGGCTAACAGGTTTCTAAGATAAAGAAGTAAGCAGCTCTAACTTTGAATTCACTATCCTTGGGCACTATGGTGTAAGATCACATATGGGTAAAACTACTCGGTCTTTGGGGCATTTCACAAATTCAAGGGGAGGATATTTAAGATGCCAGTTCCTCTTTACAACTGATAAGTCTCCGGGTGGCACAAATTCAAGTATTAGAATTTCAGTATAACCAGGTAACTTGAAAACATTTACCTTCCTGAAAGAAAGCGGATTGTCTGGCTGAATAGGGAAACCTGGCACCAGTGGTTCTCCAATTTGCAGGAATTACCCTAAAGATAGGAGAGCAGATGTTGCTTCCCTGCTTGTTCAACTGAAGCAGCTTTCTTTGAAATCTCTGGATCTGTCTCCAAAGTTCCTATGACTTTTTCATTCAACTTTGTACCACATCCGTGTTTTACTAGTTTAATAATGTACTCACGCCCTCTCATCTTAAATCTGATCAATTTGATTGCCTTTTCAGGAATGAGTGTCCTCAGTTGAGCACTGATTTGGTGCTTTGAGCACACTTCCATAGCCCCCAGTTTGAGGAAGCCAAGCCATATGTTTCAGCTCCCATTAATGATTATTCACCTACCAGAAGTTTCTGTATAGCTACTGGTCAGGTCTGTTTCATTAGCATGTAGGAAATAACAGCATAATAAAAACTAGAACCTATAGTCTGAAACCTGAGCTACTTTAGACAAAAGGAAAAAAGGGCAAGTCCCCAATATGGCCAGAAGAGCCCAAGAACCCACCTCATAGCTGAAATAGAAATATCCAGTCTGGTGGGCAAACTGCCAAAAGCATTCTATGCCTCCCGGTGGGATCATGATGGCAAAATCATAACGATCAGCTCCACGGAAGAGTGGCTGGTCCCTGGAGCCACTGAGGGGTTCTGTCTTCTGGCTTCTCACAGAGGCCACTAGGTTCAGGACCACCAGCCCAGCACCAAAGAGCAAAGGAGACATGCTGTTTTCTGGAGATTGCTCTGCAGGTGTGGTGCTCGCAGCCCAGTGGAACCAAGTTGTTCATGCAGCTGCTGGGTAATCATTAACTCCAACAATCACATTTAGGCCGATTTCAGGGTGACACCTGGATGTTCCATAATAGAACTGGCATGATATTCCCATGTCTGGCTCACAGGTAGTTATTTTTACCTCAAAAACTTAATGGTTTCTCAGACATACTTCATAGCTGATACATAGAAGCTACCTCAGAATAGATATTTCTACCCATCCTTGAAGCTGTTTTCTGTTCTTGCTGTTTAGGGATAAAATATTGGTTAAGTTTATTTACAACCACCTGGATATACTGACAGAAGTTGGCTGGGGACTTTTATCTCCTTATTGATGTCAGATTGCTAGGTGATACCTATTGATCTTTTAAGACCCATGGGTTCAACAGAAATTTTTCTGTAGCTTAGACAGCAAAGCACAACATTTAAATGTGCACTAGTTCAAGTGGATGAATACAGCAAGCAGCAAGAGACAGTGGTCAAAACCTCTCCACTGAGGATCCTTCTCATTCTGGATCTGCTACCATCCATCTCACAAGATACAGTTATCAAAAGCTATCTAAAACCACTCCTTGGCAGGAAGGTTGGGCAGTCTACTTCCATAGTGATACTGCCTCAGAAACCCAAGGAGGGGTCGGTATGAGACGGGTCCGACTTGACAGCACATAACAACAACTTCCAAAACCCACTCGTTGTTGTTGTTGTCATGTGCCGTCGAGTCAAACCCGACTCATAGCGACCCCTCCTTGGGTTTCCGAGGCAGTATCACTACGGAAGTAGGATTGCCCAACCTTCCTTCCGAGGAGTGGCTGGTGGGTTTGAACCACCAGCCGTCTGGTTAGCAGGCAAGTGTCTTAGCCACTATGCTACCAGAGCTCCCCTGCTATATTGTTCAGAGCTTTTGTTCAGTTTTTCCTCTTCTCCGTGATGTCACGCACAGGATACAGGATCATTTAACACCTGCTGATGTTTAACACGTGCTGTGCTGAGATTTACCTGCATTTATTTTCCCAGTGACACCAAAAGTGGGAGGTACTGTTACCAACTGCCCTCCAAAAACCAAACCAAACTCACTGCAATCGAGTCAATTCTCACTCATATTGACCCGTTGACTTTCCGAGGTGATAAATCTTCACGGAAATAGATCACTGCATCTTCCTTCTGCAGAGCAGCTGGTGGGTTTGAACTGCAAACCTACCAGTTAGCAGCCAAAATGCCTTATTCATTATGCCACAAGAACTTCTTACCCACTGCCCTAGAGATGAGGAAATGGCGTCAGATGGCTTGCGCACCACACTTGGCAGAGCTGGGCAGAGTTTTTCTCAAACTGTCAGTCTCTGAGTTCTAAAAATGACTATTCACTGATAGCTTTTTTTTTTTTTTTAAAAAAAAAAAAAAAAAAAAGAACTAATACCTTCTAACCAAGCACGGCTTCAGAATTCATCACATTGTCTCCAAGTCGTACTTGGCATTCAGTTTCAACGACGGCCAAATGACACTATGGTACTCCAGGGGCATGGTGTAGCAATGCAGGAGCAGAGACTAGAGCCATCTCCCAGAGGTACAGAGACACACCTCACACGAGTGCCACTGCTGCCACGGTCCTCACTACTTGAGTCATGAGCAGTGACTTAGGTTCGGCAAGACAGCCATCAAGTCATGTTAAGCTTCATAGTTTTAGAAAAGCTGTAAGCATGGTTTTATGTGTGTACACCTTTCAGTAACTACAATAAAACATTCTGTGAAAAAAATGTGAAGGGGCTTCTTCATCCTGTTTGGAAAGCACCAATTAGGATATTTTCCATCCCTGAATGCCTCGCAGTTTGTCTCTTCTGCTTCAAGAACACCATCCGATGATGTGAGAATTGAGGGGAGCAAAGCCCCTGGACTCTAATCCTGTTTGGAAGGAGACCACAACTAGTTGCAACCAGGTAGCTGGACTGACAGGACCTCGTCATGGTGGTTTAACTTGGGATTGGTTGATACAGTACAAACCCCAAAACACACAGCTGATTACAGGATCAATTTTATAACTTCCACATTTCTTTCAACCTTGACTTTGACTCACTCAGAAATGAGAAGGGAAATTCTTTTGGCCCCAAAAAAAGTATGTTATGTTAGGGAATTGACAAATTAATTGGAAACTTCCACATGATCTGTTTGACAGGGCTTCTGTGGATTAGAAAATACAGATTGACACCAGCTTCTTGATCAGTGTAATTCAACAGTTTGCTGCCCCCATCTGCGGATACATGCTGTGCTGCAATTAAAAGACTACTTAAATCTGAGAGAAGCAAGACTTTAATGAAGAATGCTACAAGTTACAGACAGTAATTCTCATATTTTAAAAAAAGAATACAGAAAACACTTTACTGAATTTTTTTTCTTTTTTCTTTTTTTTGCTAAAAAGACAGTCTTTAAGGATGTCCGAGAGAGACAGCAAGCACAACACAGTACAAAAGGACAAGGGAATGTTGAATTCCAGTGCAAGACACTAACATAGCACAATTAAGGGAGTCAGGCAGAAGCCACCAGTTCACAAAGAATGGAATTAGGCATTTATATTCTGTCAAGGTATGTTTTACTTTTTTAAGCTTTAAAAGTCCAGCAATAAGGAAGGGAACTGGTAAGGGAGGATGGGCAGAAGAGAGGGGGAGCTAAGCTTATCTACAATCACCATTTTACCAAAAATCACACTGGTTCAACCACATGGGAAGCAAAGGTTAAACTGGCCTATGTAGCCCAGCAAATATTAAGAGCTTATACCAAGGCAGTCAGGTCTGAGTGTGGCTGTCACAGCTGGCTAAATGATTCTTAAAGGGACTCCCAATTCCACAAGGCCTGATGCCTCATCAATCTGAGCTCATGACAAAGTTCCTTTGTATTTGTTTCAGAAACAATACAAAGAAGTTTTACCTGGAACAAGTTCACTCCAAAAACTGCTCATGTTGCTGGTTTTAACAGGTCATGGAATCATGTGGCTCCTAACAGACTCCACCATTTCTTAGAAGGTTCTACTGATTACTGGGGATTTAAATTCAAGCAGACCACTAAAGAAGGAGAGATTAATGCTACCTTGGCATATACAAGCTGTACACCTGTCTTCTATGCCAAGGACATGGGTGGGCTTGGCTTGGCTTCTTGGCTCCATGATCTCCAAAAGAAGTGAAGTGGAACTGGGCCTTCCCTCACATAGAAGGAGGATGCCCAGCATGCTCCTCCCAGCCTAGCTTCCAAAAGAAACAGCAGACTATCAGGGGCTATTATTAGGAACCATGCTCCTGTTAATGCTGTGGAAACAAGAGCCTGTTTCAGTTCATGCCAAGTTTTTTCATGGTCCGCCAGCGATCCTTAATCATCACAGCTGTTCGATTAACAAATGGGTAATTTTTAGAAATGGCAGCCCAGTTTCCTTCTCCATATTTCTGCACTCCAGACTTGATCCATTCGCTTTCTTCCACAGTCCATTTCTGCAAAAGAAAATCAAGACTCATCACAACCTGTCCGCCCACTTCCTCACATCTCTGACCAAGGGAAGAGAAAAATCGAGAATCCTAGAGAGAATATTCTGAGCCCAAAAGCAGGGATTATATTTGGAAAACATGATACAGATAATATATTAACACTATGGATTTGGGCCTTTAATGATTTTCAATGTCTTTGTCATTTTATTCTCAACTAATTATCAATCTTGAGCTTAAAGCTTCAAACAAATGTGTGATATTCATGTTTGAGAAAGAGTGTCAGGCTTCTGTTCTCGGTTCTTCTCCAGACGATTGACTATTTAACCTGGTTCAGATTATATGAAAATCCACAAAACAGACTTGTAACAGGTACACGCCTCTGAGAAATGGGGACTTATCTGACTTCTGTCCTACCCACAGATGAGAAAAGATAATCTCTAATTACCTGTTTTTTTGTTATGCTGGTTATACTCTCTTCTCCTGGTGCTGCTGAAAAACATTAAAAGTAGGCTTGTTTTAGAATCCCTAACTTTCACAAACTACACACACAAAAAGACACAGGATGTTTCCACAGGGAAAACTTAATTCAAATTTCTCAAATACTGGTAAGAGAAGGAACACTGCTACAGGACAGTTTCTTTTTTCCCTTAATTTGCAAGATACCAGTCATTTTACCCCATGAGAATCCATCCAAACAAAATGCTTTATAACCAGGCATTCAATAAATGTCTTAGGGTGGATTTTAAAGTTCTGGTGATACAGTGGTTAAAGCACTTGGCCACTAACCAAAAGGTTGGAGACTTAATGCACCAGCTGCTCCATGGGAGAAAGATGTGGTAATCCACAAAGATTACAGCCTCAGAAACCCTAGGGGGCTTCCTACAGGGTCACTGTGATTCAGAATCAACTGGACAGCAACAGTCTGAGCTTGGTTTATGACGGCTTTCAGTTTCTTTAGCAAAACCAGTATCAGTTTCTAAAATTACTGTGGGACTGTGATACTTAAAACCTGTGTTATGTGTAATTTCTGCTTAATAACTCCTTGCTAAGTGCTGCTTTGAAATAACATGGTTTTATACCAGACTTTTTAAATCCCTTTTCATTTTACATAAGTACAGCGTGGTTCAGTTCCCTAAACAAAAGAACAGGGCAATTACTGCTTCTTATTCCCGTGGAACAGGCAAGCTCAAGCTACATGCACCAAGGTAATTTTTAAAATAGGCCAATGGGCTATAGATGATGAAAGTATAAGACATGCCATTTCAAGCCTTCAAGAGCTGGTTAAAAAGCTACAAGAAAAGGCAAAGTTGCATAAACATGAAACTTGCAGAGCATCTGCCACATCAGATGCCACTATCCTAACAATGTTTTCTAAACAGTGGAGGAAGGTGGTTCAGGAAAAGGATACTTAGAGGAGTACGTTATTCTAAGATAATAAAGTATTTCTTACTCTAGAAGTAGATTTCTAAAGGTGACAAATCTGGACAACAGAAATAGATGTTTCTAGAACTCTTGACATCATGTTTAAAATATTCAATGCCATTTTTACTGTTTTTCTGTTGATTCCCCATTTTCTGTTTGATCCTGATCTTAACCATCTATGTTTTTGCCAACGAAGGTACTTTTCAGGGATAAAAAGGATTACCATTGTTTATATTCAAATGTCTTATTGTTGTGTGCTACAGAGTTGATGCTGACTCTTGACAACCTTATATGACAGAGTAGAACTGCCCCATATGGTTTTCTAGACTGTAATCTTTACAGGAACAAGTTGCCAGGTATTTTCTCCCAGTGGAGCTAGTGGGTTCAAACTGCTAACTTTCTGGTTAGCAGACAAGTGATTTCACTACTACACCACCAGGGCTCCTATAACCCACAGCCATTGTGTTGATTCTGACTCATTCCAGTCCCATAGGACAGAGTAGGACTGTCTCGTAGGGTTTCCAAGGCTGAAATGTTTACAGAAGCAGACTGTCACATCTTTTTCCCATGGAGTAGCTGATAGCTTCAAACCACTGGCCTTTTGGTTTGTGGCTTAGCACTTTAACAACTGTGCCACCAGGGCTCCTTAAGCCTCCAATAGAACTCCCACAACCTAGATTTAGCATTTAGATATTTTCCACTCAGACGTAAAATATGTAGTGGGAGAGATTTTAATGCACATGCTATAAAGTTTAGTATGAATTATGCAAAAGCAAAATTTTTCATCTTAAGAAAAATAATTTCTATGCAGAAACTGGTAAAGAGATTCTTTTACTTACTTTAACAAGTAATGCATGGAAAGACAATTCTATGTTTTCTAATTAAACCATTTAGAAGGACACCAACCACAACAGCATGTTATTATTAGGTGCTGCCAAGTTGGTTTCAATTCATAATAAAACCCTGCCTGGTCCTACGCCATCCTCAGTCATTGCTATATGTCTGAACCCATTGTTGTAGCCACTGTGTCAATCCATCTCATTGAGCGTCTTCCTCTTTTTTGCTGATCCTCTACTTTACCAAGCATGATGTCATCCTCCAGGGATTGGCGCCCCCAGATAACATGTCCTCAATTCTAAGGTACACTCTGGCTGTACTTCTTCTAAGACACATTTGTTCATTCTTCTGGCAGTCCATGGTATATTTAATGTTCTTCACCAACACCCTAATTTGAAGGCATCAATTCTTCAGTCTTCCTTATTCACTGTTCAGCTTTTGCATGCATTATGAGGCAACTGAAAATATCATAGCTGGGGTCAGATTAACCCTCAAAGTAACATCTTTGCTTATTAACAATTTAAAGAGGTCTTTTGCCCAATGCAATATTCCATGTGATTGTGGATCTAAGTAAAATTAAATCTTAACAACTTCAACCTTTTCTCCATTTATTATAGTACTACTTTTTGGTCCAATTGTGAGATTTGTTTTCTTTATGTTGAGGTGTAACCCATACTGATGGCTCTAGTCTTTGATCTTCGTCAGTAAGAGCTTCGAGTGCTCTTCACCTTCAGCAAGGCTGTGTCATCTGCAGACTGCAGGCTGTTAGTAAGTCTCCCACCAGTCCTGATGCTGCATTCTTCTTTAGTCCAATTTCCTGGATTATTTGCTCAGCTCACAGATTGAATGCATATGGTGAAAGGACACCCTGAGACATACCTTTCCTGATCTTAACCCACGCAGTATTCCCTTATTCTACATGAATGACTACCTCTTCGTCCATCTACAGGCACAAATCTAGAATGCCCATTCTTTGCAATATTATCCGTAATTTGTCGTGATCCACTCAGTCAGAGGCCTTTGCATAGTCAATGTTGTTGTTACGTGCCATCGAGTCGGGCCCGACTCACAGGGACCCTTCCTTGGGTTTCCGAGGCAGTATCACTACGGAAGTAGATTGCCCCATCTTCCTTCCGAGGAGTGGCTGGTGGGTTTGAACCGCCAGTCTTCTGGTTAGCAGTCAAGTGCCTCAGGCACTACGCTACCAGAGCTCCCTGCATAGTCAGTAGGACACAGGCAGACATTTTTCTGGAATTCTCTTGCTCTCAGCCAAGATCCATCTGGTATCAGCAATGATGTTCTTCATTCCATGTCATCTTCTGAATCCTGCTTGAATTTCTTGTATAGGATTTTTTAAAAATAAATGCTATACAGTAGGTTTTATTAAAAACAGGAATTTTCTTTAAAGTGATGCTTCCACACTCTCCTCTGTTTAATGAGAAAGGAGATAAAAATGACTCCTTATGAATCAAAATGACGTCAAGAACCTTTTAAACTTTTTCTAACTTGAAGATGCAGTTTCTAGAACATTTATGTGACAATAATACACATATGTGTACTTCAGCAATGCTAAGAATCTCCTAGCTTACCCTGAACTTGAAATAATTCGTCCTCTTCCATCCAAGTATCTTTTTCTTCAATCCCATTAGAGTTGTTCCACTTGCCTCTGGGTAGTCTGAGGGGAGATCAACAGAATGACACGGTATAAAACAAATTCATCTTGAGCCCTTGGCTCACTCTTCCCAGTCTCACTGTGACTACACGCAAGGTTCATCCACACACTACTCCCAGATCCAGTGCCTTTTTCCCAAGCTACCTGGTTGTCTCCTAGACTACAAGACCATCCAGCAAACGCTGCACCTAATACATCACTGCCCCCTCAAACTGTGGTACTGCTAAATACTGCTAATTTCTGCCTCCAGACTGATCTTTCTCTTCCCAGTCCCCAAGTTCAAGCCCATGATGTCTTTCACCATTATTACTCCAGGCTCTCAACTGCTACTAGCTCCTTTCCCTTCCAAAGCCACCAGAACAACTGTTCTAAAATTGCATTCCTCCTCTGTTCTGTGATGGCTTCCCACTGCCTATAGAATGAAGCCTAAATGCCTATGAGAATCAAGATCATCCAGTTTGGCCCCTTTCTATTTCTTACTAGGCAGGCCCTTCTTCCCATCAACTCCCAACCACAGCCACAGCCACTTTGCCACCCTGCTTTTCTCACTGTCCTGCAGTAAGCTCTGCACTCTCTTTCCTCTCTAGATTCTAAATTCCCTTCCCTGGCAAGTAAAATCCTACCTATCTCTGGGCCATCCTTCTTAATGACGCCTTCACTAACTGCCCCAGCACACACAGAAAGCAACCCCTCCTCTGCCCCTACAGCACAGGACTTAACACTTTACTAAACAGCTGTTTCACAGTGTACCCCTAACTCTAACCTCCTTGTAGGCAGTGGCCATATCTTCATTTGTATACCTCAGATACCTAGCACAGTAACACACACCCTAAAATGAGGTGGAGAAACATTAGCTAAACTAATACTGGGATTATCAAAGAACTGGGATTATGCAAAGGAATTTTACCATCAAAGATCAGAATAAACAACAAGAATCCTTTAAACATGAAATGTTAAGTACCATGACAGCCAAAAAAGTTCCTAAGCATAAAAAATAATCTGAAGCCCCAATTATTTTAAGAAATTAAAATTATAGCTCATCTTTTCTACTCAACTTCAACTGTGTTCACCTGATTAATCACTCTGAACACTGTGCACATCACAGAGATAACTGCCCCACACAAATCTGACCTCAGAATTACATCTTTTACAAAACATACAAAAAGTCTCAATTAAAAGTTTTAAGGTGTTTAAGATCACAATGACCTGTAAAAGTTGACCAAGAGAGCAGACACAAACATCTGTCCCCTTCCTTCTGTCCTGTGAAAAACTGTTACCTTTAAGGCTGTCCGAGAATTTTGCAAGGAAGTAATGAAAGTGACTTGCTTAACCAGTACAAAGGCTCTGCTTGTAAAATTCCTTGAGTTCCAGGAGTTAACTCTGAGATTACCTAACCAAGAACTGAGACAGATGGTAGGCTGTTGACTTCCTTTGTTTTTTAGTTGAATCATATCCCAAAATGTTATTTCTGAGAAAAATTAATTTACTTGAGACAAAATGGGGAAAAAAATGATACTAGCTTTGTTAATTTCTACTTATAAATAAAGGTCAGGCTGAAGTACAATTTAAGTTTCTATCTACTCATCCAAATGCTGGAATAAAACGGATTTTAATTCGTCTTTTAGTGAGTCATGTCCGTGGGAGTGGCTGTAACCTCTGCCTGCCCACAATCTTCCAAGATCCCTTTAGTAACTGCTTCCTCCTTTGAATTCTATATGAAGGTTCTGGTACTCAGTTGATGCTGCCTGGTGAATCTCTCGTATGACAGTTTTGCACTGACTGCCTTTCCTGACTTCTGTCGTGTAAAGCACCGAGATCTGAGTTCTGATCTTAACCATTAGGTGTCTGTATGATCCTGGGCGAGTCAGGTCACTTCGTGGTCCTAACACTCCTCACTGGTTAAGTTGGAAGAAAGCAATAGCTTAGCAGGTTTGGCAAACTACAGCCTGTTGTTTTTTTTCCTAAGTCCCTTGAACTAAGAATTATTTTTGTTTTTGAAGAGTTAAAAAAACAAAAAAGTATACGGCAAAGACCATATGTGACTAAGTCATATTAATCCTCTGGCCTTTTTCAGACATTTTGGGAGTCATCCTTTAAGCAGGAAGAACCCAGACTTATTACTTGGTTAGTATCTGTTCAATTCTTGCCATGTGTGAGGTGCTGTGGGATTTAAAAATCTGTTAGCTGTAGCCACTGCCCCAGGTGGCAGGCCCTGCTCCTGCCTCGCCTTCCTCCTGAGTTTACTTCACCTGATTTCTTCCAGGCCCTCACCCCTCAACTGACAGTCTGCGACCTCCGTTGTTCCTTCCAATACAAAGCAGATGTCATTGCCTGTTCAAAGTCCCTAGTGACGTCTCATGGGGTTTTCAGATTCGTTATATTAGAATTTTCTGGGGCATATTTAGAAGATAAAAAAAAAAAAAGCTCTGGTGGTAGCACCTAAGGCATTTGACTGCTAACCAGAAGGCTGGCAGTTCAAACCCACCAGCCACTCCTCAGAAAGACTGGGCAATCTACTTCCATGGAGATACCATCTCGGAAACCTGAGGAGGGGTGCTGTGAATCGGAAACAACTCGACAGCAGTGAGTTTGAATGTTTTTTGTATATAGAAAAACAGACTCCAGAACACCATGACCTCCTCCCTTTCTAATGCAGCAACCAGGGGCCTAGGAATATTTTTATAAATGTTACACCAAAGAAAACCCAAACTCACTGCCATCAAGTCAGACCTGACTCATAGTGACCCCTCCTTGGGTTTCCAAGGCAGTATCACTACAAAAGTAGATTGCCCAGCCTTCCTTCCGAGGAGTAGTTAATTATAATTATAATGAAGCCCAATTTGAGAATCTCTGCTTGATAGAATAAAACAGAATCTCCAGATGGAGCCCATCTACCTATCCAGGCTTTTCTCCCTTCCTGAGAATGTTCTCTGTGTGTGAGGCTTTCTCATGTCTTTATGCAGTCAGCTCCCACTGCCTAGAACCCCTGCCCCCAATATGCTTAATGACTACCTACTTCTCCTTGAAGGCCACGGTTGCTCCACCTATAGCTTTGTTGAACCGTATCAGATCTTCTTCCCCTGAGCTCCCAAGGTACCCATCATGTTTTTCTGTTAAAGCAGGGGTCACTATACTTCTGTAAAAGGCCAGATAGTATTTTTGGCTTTATAGCCCATACTGTCTCTGTCACAACTACCCAAAGCTGCCACAGACAATACGTAAACGAAAAGGTATGTTGGTGTCCCAATAATTATAAAAAGTGACAGCAGATGTATTTGTCCCAAATGCTATTATTTTTCCCAATTTCCACTTTAAAGTACCCATGACATTTCATTACATAGCCCTGGTACATGAGTGAGGAGAGACCTTCACAAATCCTTTACAAAGACCACTATAATCATGCCCTCTCCCCGACACTTCCTCATCTGTTAATGGGACCAATACCTACATTTCACATCATTGTAAATGAGGTCACATATCCAATGAGAATAGAAGTGCCCATCAGCTATGCCCATCTGTCAATAAAGAGACTGGCTTCCAAAGGCAGGTAGTGGTGTGAATAGTGCCAATTTGTGCTGGAATATAAATCATGCATCAGGAGCCACAGCCCATCAGGGCACCTAGCACACACATGCCAGAGAACAGGTCCTCAAATAACTACAACACAGAGCAGTGGCACAGATGGCAACAGCTCTAGGAGTCCAGCAAGGTGACCGGGGAAACGTTCATGGTGGCAGAATTTTAAGAGGCAACTTGGTCTGTGTGGTGTACAGGACCTGGGCTTTTGTGTCATGACTTGGATTAAAAATCCCAAAGCCCAATTCTGCTGCTTTTCAGCTTTGTGACTTTTCTGAGCTTTCTTCCCCTATAAAATGGGGCTACTATATCACCTCACAGCATGAGGATTGCAGACTGTAGAGAGATTCAATCATATCATCTATGTAAGTGCTTGGGCCACAGAAAGCACTTCATTAACATCAGCTCCTCTTGCCTCTGAAGAACGAATGGGAATCTGACAAGTAATGATGGAGGGATGATAGTCCAATGTGGGGAATGAGAGGAGAAACAAAAGTCCAGTAGTAGAAACAAACACAGCGTGTTCCTGAGAGAAAGCAGACCAGCTTGTCTGGAAGAAGGATCCACAACAGAGCACAGAGGGGAGCAAAACTCAGACGCCTGGTGGGGGTCATATTACGGAGAGTAAAATTCTAGCATTCTGATCAGTGCTCCACAGTACCTAGCAGAATGTGGGACATTAGTAAAGGGTGCAAAACAAGAAACATCAGTCTCTTGTAAGAGTCAAAGTATAAGGTGGCCCAATTCAAACAAATTTCCTTTAACAAACAAGGCCAATATTTAGTAGTCAAGGCACTCAGAAGTTTGCTAAAAAATGAGTAGGAGGCTCTGAAACCCTTTCATTCTCACTCATGCCCTAGCGCAATGCCCAGAAGCTACGTGTGGGGCTTCAGAATTGGCAAGGATGGCTATGTCATCACTCCCCATTACCAAGTCATGTTCTAGCAGTCTGAGCAAGCCTTGGTGGTAAATAACTTAGCTGACGTTTACTTCATTCATGGATGCAATACCAGGCCAGGCCCAACCAGGGCCAGCAACCAGCCCCAAAACTGCTACAAAGAGAGTCTTCATACTTGAGATTCTTCTCCCTGGAGAGAGGCTGGTTGAGAGCGGTGGCCTTGGATAGTGACGCCGGAACGACCTCCTGGGTGTTGTTGAAGCCAGTGGTTGGCTCTGAACTCTGGCTGTCCTCCTCCAAAACCAATCTGCTTATTGTCATGCGCTTGGCCTTGGGCTGCAGTTCAGAGCCACCCTCAACCTCAGCAGGGGCTGAACTTTCTTCATCTTTTCTCGGTCTCTTGTTTTTGAGGCCTGCGGATGGTAGGGGTGCTTGATGAGGAAGTACCAGATCCTTCTGGTCTAGTTTTAAGAAGGCTGCCTCAGAATCCTTGGCAGTGGACAGGGCCTTGAAAGCTGCTTTCAAAGTCATAATCCCAATGGTGGTTGGAGGATTCTGTTGCTGCCTAAAAAAACGCCACAAACATACAAGGATCAATTTCACAACTACTGGTACTCATCCATTGAAACAGCCATAGCTTTTTCAAAGTCTGACACTTCAAATTAGAGGACTTGAGGACTCACCATTTAAACAAAAAGTAAGAGATAAGTTAGTATAACACAACTGTTACTTGTACATGCCTCTAATTTAATAAATATAGAGACTTTGAACATGATCTCTAAATTGAATTACAGCATTTAAGCGCCAAGTCAGAAAACTGTAAAGAAACTATAGGCATTGGTACCCCCTCCAGAGATCTCCTGAGGCAATGTGCTAGTCTAACCCTTTAAAGCAATGTTTTCCATTATGTAAGAACCCTGAATAGTGCTAAAACCAAAACCAAAACCAAACTCACTGCCGTTGAATCAGATCCCTCCTTGGGTTTCTGAGGCTATATCACTACAGGAGTAGATTGCCCCATCTTCCTTCTGAAGAGTGGCTGGTGGGTTTGAACCACCAGCCATTCTGGTTAGCAGTCAAGTGCCTTAGGCACTACGCCCCCAGAGCTCCACCTGGGCAACAACAGATGATCCCGCAATCGCGACTCTTGTTCCAGCCATCCCATCTAACCCTCATGTGACAGAAGGAAAAGCTGAGTCTCCACTCTGCCCCCTTCTCCGACGGTACACTTATGAACAGATCTGGAGGATTCTCAAAGTAAGAAGCATGTCTTGGAACTATGAGAAACTGCTTTTTAAAAATGAAGCTTATCTTTCATTTGAAACAGCTAACATGCTTTAAAAGGAGCCCAGGTGGCACAGTGGTTAAGCACCCAGCTGCTAACTTAAAGGTGAACAGTTTGAACCCACCAGCTGCTCCACAGGAGAAAGACATGACAATTCTGCTTCTGTTAAGATTTATAGCCCTAGCAACCCGATGGGAGAGTTTTCCTCTGTTCTATAGGGTCACTATGAGTCGTCAGGATTGACTTGACAGTGGGTTCTGGCAATGGGTTAAGATGCCTTAAGTGAAAACTGTTACAAGGGTCAACTGCCAGTCTGCAGACCAAGGCCAATTGGCAGGTGTGTTCTGTTGGCCTAACCTATGGGAAATTTCTTTTTCTTTTTACATTGGACTAACATTCAAAAGTTGGGAAATCTCACACAAAAATCTAAACTGGAGTTGGGGCATCCTCAGACATTCCCACATAGCAACAAACATATGAAACTGAAAAGGCCTGCCCTCCCTAGTTCACACAATCCCACTCTCTCGCCTGTCTCATCCTAGGTCTGCTTCCCTCCTGTACGTTTTCTGCCAGGCCCCCCAAAGGCATCTAAACTTGTGACCCCTACTTTAGCAGCTGGTCTTGGGAATCCAATTCATAGATCTCGATATTGCTTTCTAAGTATATTAAGAGATCAGGTATCCACAAGAAAGTGCTGAGTAGATACCGGCAAAGCAAGGAGAGAGAAATAGAAGGAAAGGACCTGTGAGCAATAGCCAGTTGGGAACTTCTATCACAGGTCCCAAATATCCTGCCTTCAATATGCTCATTTTCCTAGGGTATGCTCTGTATCTCCCACAGAGCCTTGTACAAGTAACCCAGTAACGTGTCAGCAAGCCAGTCACTGAGAGAAACTGATCCCACTCTAAGGACATGACCCCAGAGTCTCCCCCAGTTTCACAAAAGGGCATCCCTCTCACCTGGTGGGTTCTCTGAGCGGCTTTTCCATAGACTCTGGTACTGGCTGCTTATCTTCCTTCACTGTGCTTGAGGCAGGAGACTCAGATTTCAAAGCCTTTTTGGCCATCTTAGAAAGGAAGAACGTCATCAGGAACAGGAAGCCACAGAACTTCACTAATTCTCTGCTGCTTTCACCATGAACACACTCAGTAAGCAAACAAGGTCACTTGCAAACGCAATCTAGGCATAAACTGGAGGAGGATGTAAAAAGGAAGAGACCTTACAGTTGTCTCAAATTTCTGCCTTTACTTCCTAAAAAAAATTGTAACATCTCCAAACATGGCTATAGATGTTAACCATCTTGACATTTTAAGAATTCTTTAATCTTTTCAACATCCAATCATTATATGATTTTACTCATTTCCTCTTTTCATCCATCCTACAAATCTTCCTCATCCCTGACCCAGTGTTTTTGGTGTTATGTACAAAACTCCAAGTTTTTTTTCAAGGTTAGGATAATAATAAATATTAGTATCTTCTAATTTATGTACAGAATTAGCACTGACTGTATTTCCACAAATGTGTTATACCTTAGTAACAACCGGTTGGAATTTCTTAACTACACCGTACCTACAGCCCTCAGTACATCAGTTTTGCTCTAATGCTGCCTGCTCATCTGCTACCCTCTGACTTAAGTTTTATCCATTTCTAGCCAACCCAGTATCCTTCCATTTCAGATATGTGTATCTGTGATGCGTGATGTCTTAGGAGCAGAGAGTTCTAGCCTCACATACAGGCAGGGCAGGTTACTATTTTTCAGTTACCTGGAACAAAGGAGTGGATCCTAGGTCACATTCAAGTGAACTGAGATTTGTTCCTTAAATATTCCAAACTACCTACTTTTCATGTAATTTAAGATTTGTAAAATCACTGATAGATCATTGACATTACCCTAATATAGGCCTGACAGATACACAACTATGTGATAGGATGTTTTCAGCATTCTCAAAATCCTACTTTGGGAAAAAAAAAAAAAAAAACCAACTTCTCATTCAGTGTTCCTTTATCACAGCCCCACCATCCAGGACAGCCTGGGCTCTGGCTCTTCCGCAGGCTGTCCAGAGCCCTGCTGCTTCTGGTCTTTCTGTGTCTTCATTTGGCCTTTTCTGACTTTTATCATACTTCTAGTCACACAGTTCCTCCAAGTCCTTGCCTTTTTCCTGTTAACAACCCTGTTGTGCCACATCTACTGTCTTTCTCCCAAAGCTCAGCTCAAATTTTGCCTCCTTTGGGGAGCAAGCGTCAATTTTAAGTGAATGTTCTCCCACTTGAATCACAACAGATTAATTACATGTAAAGGAGGTAAAAATGGGAGGCGAGAGAGTCCAGGTGTGTTCCATTTGTCTCTGCCAGGATGTCTGCTTCTGCATATTTAAAGCATTTAATTAAGGAAGACAGTAACTAAAATTCAGTCTTTTCCACACATTCATTCCTTTAAAAAAACTTGTGGAAAGAGCTGTCCTTTTCTATTCCGTGCACATGCTCAAGGCCACAGGACAGGCACAGGCAGAGAGGAAAGGCAAGGCCCACCGTGAGGAGGTAGGGCTCCGAGTGATCCAGGTGGCTCTCCAGAAAGCGCAGCATCTTCTGCTGGAAGATCTCGTAGGAGAAGTTCTGGATCACAGGGTGAGCCACGTTCTTTTCACGGATAATATTCAGGAGGTCATTTCTCAGTTTCTACACAAAGGACCAATTGTTGCAACATGAGAAAGGAACACTCAGTAAAAATTCAATGATGACAAGTCAAGAGAGAACACTATCACAACTTTCCCAAGACTGCCAATGAAGATCACTGGCGCAAACGTGGGAAGGGAAGCCTAGCGCAAAGAACTGGTCATATAAAATGGTTCAGACATAATGGTTTACTGTACAGTAAAATACATAATATATGAGTAAGTTCCTTATATATGAATATAGAATGATCTACAGTGAAAAATAAAATTTTAAAAAGATTCAAAATATTTAGAATACGTTGTAATGTGTATGACAATAGGAGAAATGGCTGTATGTCTGTGTGTCTGTGTATACTCACACATATATCTGTGTATGTGCTTGCATACACAGAATATCTTTGAAAGGATAAAAGGAAAAGTAACCAGGTTGCTTCTGAAGAGGGGAATTACAAGTAATGGTCAGAGAAGAGAAAATTTTCTCTAAATTTTTGTGGTACCTTTTGAATTTTGCATTATGTACATGTATTACCTTTGCAAAAAATACAATTTAAATTTAAAAATAAGAACAAGGCTCTGACAGAGCTTTTGAAACCAGAAAACAGAGGTGTTAATCCTCACCAAGGCAGATTCTCCTCAAGTGTGTGGGATTAGCATTTATGTAAACAAAGTTAGAAGCATTATAGATTTGTTAGCTTAGTACCTGGCACTAACGGCTTAAATAAATGTTCTGTCACAAACCAGACAGGAATGTGGTAAGTAAATTATTTATGTAATTTGTCTAAAGAAAATATATTTTTGAAGCCAGTCTAACATAAGTCATCTTTGGATATAAAATACCGCATGCAAAAGGTGTTGAATATTTAGAAAATATTCCTGACAAAGAACCCTTTCCTTATTTCCCCACAAAAAGCAGTGAGTTGGATATAAGTGGTAAAAGCAGAAATTTATCAAATTTACCTGAGTTGTGGGGTCCTTGGACATATGTTTTTTCAAAATTTTTGAAGCCTTTTCAAATTCTTTGTTTTTGATACAAATAATGACAGCCTACAGAAGGGATAAAAAAAAATTTACTGTTGTAATAACAACAGGTGTAATCATAACATGAAAGAGCAAAATTAACTACTAGAAGTAAAACAAATCTTACATACCCTTGAGCTTTTTCACATCATTCCAGATGCTTGTTCTTAACAGCTACCCATTCCTCAAGTACTGTGAACAACTGCAGCCCTGCACGGAAGTGTGTTGCTACCTCAGTTTGTGGGGAGGAGCATTTCCATATGACATTGGATTTTGTGAAAAGCTGATACAGCAAAACCTGATGATCCCTTGCATTATGGACCATATACCCAATTGCAAACAGGGCCTCTTAAGAAAAGGTAGAATGGACCAGAGTTATTCCAGGTCCCTGCAAAGTTCACAACTGGTTCTCTCTTTATGGAAGCAAAAGCTTTGATTTAATTTTGGGGGAAGTATACTGTGAAAGGGAGCTCTGGTAGCATAGTGCCTAAGGCATATGACTGCTAACCAGAAGGCTGGCGGTTCAAACCCACCAGCCACTCCTTGGAAGGAAGGCTGGGCAATCTACTTCCATTGAGATACAGCCTCGAAAACCCAAGGAGGGGTTGCTATGAGTCGAATAGACTCAATGGCCATGAGTTTGGTTTTTGGCTTTGATACTGTGAAACGAAGCAGTGGTTAAGCACTTGGCTGCTAACCAAAAGTCTGGCAGTTCAAATCTATCAGCTCCTCCGTAGGAGAAAGATGTGGCAGTCTGCCTCCATAAAGATGACAGCCTTAGAAACCCAGTGGGGACAGTTCTACTCTGTCCTGCAGGGTTGCTATGAATAGGAATGTACTTGATGGCAATGGATTTTTGGTCATACTGTGAATAAATAAATAACCTGCTGACCACAGAGCTGTTTCCACTCAGAAAAGGCCTGAGGCCAGATATGCACCCGAATGAATACAGCCTCTCACTGCAGTAAACCCAGCCAGCATCTTCAGTACGTGCGCAGGGGATTACAGAGACTGACAATCCCAGCTCAGCTAAGGGCAGCAAAGCAAACAAAGTTCCAGGTAGGATGAGAAGCTCTCATCAGCCAGAGACAAAGAAGAGCCTTTCTGTAAAGAAACCCTGAGAGAATGAATATATGTAGAAGAAAAAGGACAGTGACTGAAAATTACAAAAGAAACTTTTAATATTCACCCACATTTGAAAAAAATCAGAAAAACCAACTAAAAGTTGTGAGTAATTTAGTTTTCTGATGGAATAATGTACCTTAAATCCTGACTCACAGAGAGAAGAGCACAGACAAATAGAGACTTTCTTTAAACATAAAAAAACACATACAAAAAAATGGAAGGAAAACTGGGCCGTATTTTCAGTTTTCACGAGGAAGAATATTTAAGGAAATAAAGACTGAAAAGAATAAACAGCCTGAAAATCCATTGCTGGTGATTCCCACCTTAATATGGTCAGCACAACCATACACAGCAAAAGGCAACTGGTATTAAATGCTCTTGTGTAAGCAACTGGAAGTTTTGCTGGTCAGAGAAGGTATGAAATAATTTTCACTTTAATCGATGACCATATTCACTTATATGTCATTTTCAGCAAAAAACAGTACTTACTTTCTTGATAAAGGTTTTACGTTTTAGAAACATATAGGTTCTATCATCTGTGTTTTTGTTGTTAAGCATCATCCACCCAGTCACTCCAACTCACAGCGACCCTCAGTACAACAGAACAAAACACTGCCTGATCCTGCACCATCCTCAGAATCCCTGCTGCGTTGGAGCCTATTTTTGTAGCCACTGGGTCAGTTCATCTCATTGAGGATCTTCCCTTTTTGCACTGACCCTCTACTTCACCAAGCATGATATTCTTCACCAGGGACTGGTATCTTCTAACACTACCAAAGTAGGTGAGACGAAGTCTGGCCATTCTTGCTTGAAAGGAGAATTCCGGCTGCAGTTCTTCCAGGACCCATTTGTTTGTTCTTGTGGAAATCCATGGTATTTTCACTATTCTTCACCAACACCATGAGAGCTCTGGTGGCATAGTGCCTAAGGCACTTGACTGCTAACCAGAAGACTGGTGGTTCAAACCCACCAGCCACTCCCCAGAAGGAAGGTTGGGCAGTCTACTTCCCTAGTGATACTGCCTCAGAAACCCAAGGTGGGGTTGCTATGAGTCAGTCGCTTTGGTTTGGTCTGGTCACCAACACTACAATTCAAAAGCATCTACTCTTCTTCCTCTTCCTTATTCATTGTCCAGCTTTTACATGCATATGAGGTGAGTGAAAATACCATGGTTTGGGTTAGGCACACCTTAGTCTTCAAAGTGACATCTTTTCTTCTTGACACTTTAAAGGTCTTTTGCAGCAGACCTGCCCAGTGCAATACGACATCTGATTTCCTGACTGCTGCTTCCATGGGTGTTGATTGTGGGTCCAAGTAAAATGAAATCACTGACAACTTTAATCTTTTCTCCATTTATCATGATGTGGCTTATTGGCACATTTGTGAGGATTTTTGCTTTATGTTGAGGTGTAATCCATACCAAAGACTATTCTTTTATCTCCATCAGTAAGTGCTTCTAGTCATCTTCACTTTCAGTAAGGAAGGTTGTTACTGAATCTTCCTCCAATCCTGATGCCGTGTTCTTCTTCAAATTGTTATATATAACACTTTTTATTAACTGGTTGTTGTTAATTGCTGTCAACTCACCCCCAACTAATGGCAGCCTTATATATAACAGAAAGGGCTGCTCAGTCTTCTGCCATCTTCATGATTGCCAGTATGTATAAGTCCACTTTGTTGCTGTTATGTCAGTATATCTCACCACACGTTTCCTTCTCTTCACTAACATTCTGCTTCACCAAATGTGGTGTCCTTTTGTAGGACACCTCTCTTGATGACACATCCAAAGTGTGTTAGTTATGTAGTGCTGCTGTAACATACAACACAAGTGGGTGTCTTTAAGGAACAAAATTTTATTTTCGCACAGTTTCAGAGGCTGGAAGCCTGAATTCAGGGCACTGGCTATAGAGGAAGGCCCAGGGGAAAGAGCTTTGTCTCAGCTTCTGCAGCCCAGGCGTTTCTCAGTCCTTTGGCAATCTTTCCATGGCATTTATCTTCCCCAGTCTGTTAGATTCTGTGTCTGTTCTGCTCTTTTTATCATTTAGAAGTGATCTGGTTTAGGAGAAACCCTACACTGACATGGACTCATTAACAAAGAAGGCCCTATTCCCAAATGGAATCACATCCACAGGTTTGGGGGTGGGGAGGGGGGTTAGGATTCCAATACCTATCTTAGGGAGACACGATTCAGTCTATAACAGTAAGTTGAGATCTTGCCTTCTTCACTTCTAAGGAGAATTTTGTTGGCAATTTCTTCAGAATCAATTTGTTCATTCTTCTTGCAATCTGTGATATACTCAATATTCTTTGTCAACATCTCAATTCAGATGCATTAATTCCTCTGTCCTGCATTTTTTATTATTTGGGTTTTGCATGCATATGTGGTGATCGAGAAGACAAAGTCCAGATGCATCTTAGCCATCAAAGTGACATCTTTCTCTTTTGCAGCTGATTTGCCCAGTACGGTATGTCATTTACTTTCCTAACAGCTGTTTGCATGATACTGATTGTTGATCCAAGTAGCATGAAACTGTTAACAATGCAACTTTTTCTCCTTTTATCATGATGCTATTTACTGCTCCAATTGTAAGGACTTCCATTTTCTTCATGTCCAGGCATACTTGAAGCTGTAGTCTTTGCTTGACATCATTAAGTGTGTCAAGTTGTATTAACTTTCAGGAGGTTGTGTCATCTGCATTTTATAGGTTGCTAATAAGTCTTCCTCCATGCCATGTTCTTCTTCATAGTAAATTTAACTTCTTGGGGATATACAGTCCAAGTTTTAACCCATGTATAAATTCCTGTAGTCACCACCCCAGTGAAGATAAAAATCATCAATCCAAAAACTTCCCTCATGCTGCTCTTCTGTAGTCACACCTTCCTCTATCTCTAAACCCTGGAAACCACTGTTCTTTTCTCTATCATTTTGTGTTTTCAGGAATGTCACATAGATGGAATCATATGGTATGTGTTGTTCTAAGGTACGATCATGTCAATTCCAACTTACAAACATCTTATGTACAAAAGAACAAAATACTGCCCAGTCCTATGCCATCCTCATAATAGTTGCTGTGTGTGAGCCCACCATTACAGCCACTTTGTCAACCCATCTCACTGATGGTCTTTCTCTTTTTCACTGACCCTCTGCTTCACCAAGCATTGTGTCCTACTTCAGGAACTGATCTCTCCTGATAACATGTCCAAATTACATGAGACGAAGTCTTGTCATCTTCACTCCTAAGGAGCCCAGCCATACTTCTTCCAAGACAGATTTGTTTGTTCTTTTGGCAGTCCATGGTATATTTAATAATCTTCACCAAAACCCTAATTCAAAGGTATCACTTCTTCATCAGTCATCCTTATTTAGTGCCCAGCTTTCACATGGATAAGAGGCAGTTGAAAGTACCATAGTTTGGGTCAGGTGCATCTTACTGCTCAAAGTGACATCTTTGCTTCTTAACACTTTAAAGAGGTCTTTTGAATATATGGCCATCTCAGTATGTAGTTTTATTTTCTTACATGCTGCATCCATGGGCATTGATTGTGGATCCAAGTAAAATGTAATCAATGACAATTTCAATATTTTCTTTGCTTATCATGATATTTACTGGTCCATCTATGAGGATTTGTTTTATATTAAGATATAATCCATACTGAAAACTGTAGTCTTTAATTTTCATCAGTAAGTGCTTCAAGTGTTCTTCAGTTTTATCAAGCTCCATTATGTTGTTTTTATTTTTCAAAGGATGTAGCCTTAGATTGGCTTCTTTCACTCAGTATAAATTCTGAGATCCATCCATGTTGTTGCAGTATAAATTGTTCATTGTTTTTCATTGCTAAGTATTTTTCCATTGTATGGAAGTACTCCATTTTGTTCATCCATTCACCGATTAAAACACATT